ATCAACCAATCATATAGTCACCACAGTGTATCAACCAATCATATAGTCACCATAGTGTATCAATGAATCATATAGTCACCATAGTGTATCAACCAATCATATATTCACCATAGTGTATCAACCAATCATATAGTCACCATAGTGTATCAACCAATCATATTTTCACCATAGTGTATCAATTAATCATATAGTCACCATAGTGTATCAACCAATCATATAGTCACCATAATGTATCAACCAATCATATTGTCACCATAGTGTATCAACCAATCATATAGTCACCATAGTGTATCAACCAATCATATAGTCACTATAGTGTATCAACCTATCATATAGTCACCATAGTGTATCAACCAATCATATAGTCACCATAGTGTGTCAACCAATCATATAGTCACCATAGTGTATCAACCAATCATATAGTCACCATAGTGTATCAACCAATCATATATTCACCATAGTGTATCAACGAATCATATAGTCACCATAGTGTATCAACCAATCATATAGTCACCATAGTGTATCAACCAATCATATAGTCACCAGAGTATCAACGAATCTATAGTCACCATAGTGTATCAACCAATCATATAGTCACTATAGTGTATCAACCAATCATATAGTCACCATAGTGTATCAACCAATCATATAGTCACCATAGTGTATCAACCAATCATATAGTCACCTAGTGTATCAACCAATCATATAGTCACCATACTGTATCAACCAATCACATAGTAACCATAGTGTATCAACCAATCATATAGTCACCATAGTGTATCAACCAATCATATAGTCACCATAGGGTATCCACCAATCATATAGTCACCATAGTGTATCAACCAATCATATAGTCACCATACTGTATCAACCAATCATATAGTTACCATAGTGTATCAACCAATCATATATTCACCATAGTGTATCAACCAATCATATAGTCACCATAATGTATCAACGAATCATTAGTCACCATAGTGTATCAACCAATCATATAGTCACTATAGTGTATCAACCTATCATATAGTCACCATAGTGTATCAACCAATCATATAGTCACCATAGTGTATCAACCAATCATATAGTCACCATAGTTTATCAACCAATCATATAGTCACCATACTGTATCAACGAGTCATATAGTCACCATAGTGTATCAACTAATCATATAGTCACCATAGTTTATCAACCAATCATATAGTCACCATAGTTTATCAACCGTATAACCAGAGTATTGACAACTTCGCTGTAGGCTTCACTATGATCATTTGATCTATTACAAAAATCTCTGTGAATATAGGAAGTTGAATTTTTGAGAAATTATTAGGCGTTTTCTGAAATTTGAAGGTATTATAAAAAGAATATAATTAAACATAAAATCTATTTCCTCTTTAACTATAAGAGTGAACGAGATTGAATGATTCCTGAACAGTATTTGAAAAAACAATTTGGAACATAACATCAAATTTTTAGAATAAGATGAAGTCAATATTTGAAATAGGATAACGGCTGTAATACTTCCTTTATCTAAATACATTAAATAAGAAATAAAGTTAAATTACAAACAAACATGGCGCATGCCAATTTAGAGGAATTATCTGACACCAGATTGATTCATGGGCAAATAAGAAAGTTTTAATTTGATGGAGTTACCTACCAACTATGTTAGTGGTAGTAAAATTTTGCTGTTCTTGTCCTTTCCTATTTTTGCTTATTATCCCCATTATAATATTCATTATAAAATCATCCAAAATTATCGAATTAATTGAAAATTCTGATGATTTGATTGCAAGAGTACTAGGAGCATTGTGTTTGGCTGTAGACTAGAGATCAACAAAAAAGAAGAAATGGGTTGGAAGCAACGACACAAGATTTTACAAAACAAGAAAAATTCATGTGATCGAAAAACATATCCTCTCTTATAGTTCTTTGTCAGCCCCTCTCCTTGTTTTTCAACACTGGCAGGAACACTCACCAAAGATTGATCTACGTAGTCGGTACTAAACTTTTTTCCACCTTTCTTAACGTCTATTTTCTTTCGTCCCCTTTTAGGAAAAAGTTCTCAAACCTCAGAGATTAGATGTTGTGTGTTCATTAAAGTGTTGTAGCTGTACGTATTGTATGTGGGTCAGATAAAGCGTCATTTACACATCGGATTTTCGTAGCATATGAGAATATATCCATTTGAAGGTAACCAGACGTCACGCCTTGCGTTATCGAGCATTTTTGCTAACATAAACATATCAGGAGATACCCCCAACATGGACGACTTTGAAAGAATTTCCTCTTCTCACGATTCATACAAACTCTCCCTTAATGAGAGCCTCATTATCAATAGCTACAAGTCTTCACTTATCGACAGTATAGTAAAAATACAGTAGAGCAAGTCCATTGAATTTTTTGTGCTACGTATATCTCATTGCACGTATGATTACTATATTGGAAGCTAGTAAATTGACTTTATTTGAGTAATAGGAGTGCTGAGCTGGCTAACGGCAGTCTGTTATCTAATTATATGTACAGCAGAAAGTTTCTGAGCAAAGTGGACTTTTGGTATGTTTCCTTTACTATGGCTTAACATCTGTCCAAGGCAGCTCTATTCAACTCTTTTAATTTCACTATATTTTGCTTCCTAACTTCGTAATTTATATAATCTATTTGACACCGTCTCATTTTGTATTCTAACACCTTATGTAAATATGATTATTTCTCATAACATCCTATTAAGCATGCAATGCTACCCAACCTTCCGATTTGCTAAATACGGCCCTATAATGCAGCGGATGTTGAGTTTTATTTTATGTTTTTCTACGTGTTTCTGTGCACCTGTTCACTCAGAATTGTTTTATTATTGATGAGGAATATTTACTCTAAACGTCCCTAATGAATATTTTGATGAGAAATATGTCAGTAAACGTCCCTGTGATAACAAGAGGCCACCATGTTATTACATAGTTAAATGTTGTTAATGACTTAATGTTGACAATGACCATATACAGTCTCTCAGATCTATAACAATTCAAACCAGCGGTTCATAACAGGTAATTTACAAACAAATCTAAACAAATTCGAAAAACAAACAGTAAAAAATTTGAAAACAAAAAGAAAACAGGAGAGAATGCCAACTTTACAAAACAGAGGACAAAAAAGTAAAGAAAGGCTTGCTCAGTTTAAATAATACTTTATAATAAACCTTTTATTAACTTGTTTATTCGCTCTTCGAGCCTGCGAGGTCTGCACATAAAGAATTAATGATCCGATATTTCTCTTTAAAGAGTTCCCAATTAGTAAAGGCCTTATATTACAACTAATTTTAATTTGGTATTTCAAAATTTATGTGTTTGTACATGCTTTTCCTTCCACCTGTTCACATCAAAACGTAGGCTTAACAACAACACTTTACAGCTAATTAACATAGCTAAGTTACGAAGAAAATTGTGAAAATTGCCTAAATTGAAATGATCCTTGCTTGTTGTAGTAGACTTTGATAATATCCAACAGAGTGGCTGTCCAATGCATCAACTAGAAGTTTGTTTTTTACCAAATTAAAATTAATATTGAAATGTTAAATTGTTGTTCTTAATTCTTTACCGCTTAACCCAATCACTTAAACAATTTTTCATTCATAAGTCATTATTCTTGGATGCATTATTTTTTTGTCATTTCTCATAGTATTTTTGCTGCTGTCGTCTTGTGAACAAAGAGTTGTAAGAAATATAAAAAGCTGGTTTCATGTTGTAAATTTTACTGTATAGTTCGGTTCGACATAAATTGGTGTATTTGCGGTTACAATTTTTTACCAATGAATGTTAGCAAAAATTAAATTTAGTGTTAACAAAGTTAATATTTAAGAACTTAAAATACGCAATGGGAACAATATCATTTTATGTCATTAGCACTTGAAGTCATTAACCTGTTTTGCCGTGTTCACCCAGTTTAGATGCATTAATTTTGCTTCGGCGCTTTGTCTAAAAAGAGGTAAAATATCAAAAACTTATCTTCTATAACATTGTTTCGTCAACCAATGTATGTATCTTAATTTTTCTTTGTTCCCAAATTTTCTAACACATTTAAAGTATTATTGTCGATTCGTAAAGGGTAGGATTTGAGGCAAAACGAAATTCAATAAAATGATAAATAATTGTGGTAGTCGGCGTAAGTGCATGTTTATATATTCTCAATACATTAACCTGCTTTGCCGTGTTTGCCCACATTAGATGCATTATATGTGTTTCGTTGCTTTGTAGCTATAAACAGAGGTAACCCTCTAAAATGTCAAAAACTCTATGTTCTATAACATTGCTTTGTCAACCAACAACAACATCCAAATTTCCAAACATTTAAAGTATTCTTGTTGATTCGTTAATTCTTATTTCTTTACCGCTGAACCCAATCACTTAAACCATTTTTCATTCATAGGTCATTATTCTTGAAGCGATGTTTTTCTTGTCATTTCTCACTGTATTTTCGCTGCTGTCGTATTGTGTCTATTGCTTAAACAAACACCTGAAGGCAATAAACTTACAGCTGGTATTACGATGTAAATTTTACTGCATAATTCGGTCCGACACAATTTGTTGTATTTAGGGCCTAAAATTTTGCTAATGACTGTCAGCAAAATTGAATTTACTGTTGGTAAAGTTGATAGTCAAAAACTTAAAATACGTTTTATATTGTAACAATATAATTTTTCGTCATTGAGCACTTGAAGTCATTAACCTGCTTTGCCGTGTTTGCCCACATTAGATGCATTATTTGTGCTTCGTTGCTTCGTAGCTATAAACAGAGGTAATTCTCTAAAATATCAATAACTTTATCTTCTATAACATTGCTTCGTCAACCAACCACAGCATCCAAATTTCCAAACATTTAAAGTATTATTGTTGATTCGTAATGTATAGGATTTGACGCAAAACAAATTCTATAAAATGTTGAATAACTGGGGCAGATGGCATGAGTGTTTGTATATACTCAATATGGCACTGTACATTTAAGGAAGCCGACAGCCTTGGCCAGCAGTTGCAAGTAAAACATTGCGAAAGCCACAACTCTGTTGTTCGTCTGACTTGTATGTATCTTAATTTTTCTCTGTTTGTCTAAGGTTTATTGCTTCAGTCGCCTTATTGTGTCCGCTTTTTAATTAATAAAAGAACAAAGGTAAGATGTGATGTAGTTGATAGTAAAACGGAAGTCTCTTTATCTTCGATGCTTTGTTAACATTTAATACAGCAAAATTTTTCTTTGACTTTGTTTGGCAAATAAGTGTTAATACAAACACAGCACAAATTCCGCCCCCCAAATGATTTGATTCTTATAGTAAATGGAGAGATTTTTTCATTTACCAAAATGGGGACAGGTTTCACATTAATATTTTGATTCATATATTTATATATTATCATATTTTTGCTCAAATCTCTCAACTACATCGAAAACAAACCCTATTCCACTGTTCTGTAAATATATTCGTTCTTCAGCGGAACCTGCGAAAAATTAAAAAGAAATCCGCTTGACATTTTCAATTCTTATGGAGTATTCATTGGCAGTTAGTACTCCACAAATAACTGCAAACAAAGGAATAAGCTTGGAAAAATGTAAAAAGCTGCAAACCATTTCCAAGATTTTCTGTGATATTTCTGTAAATTTTTATAAAAGAATTTGAGCAATCTCAAGATAAGCCTGAAACCCAAATTTACTTAGCTGCCCTTAATATCGACGTTGGTTTATTTCGTAAGCTCTTCCTCCTCAATAGAAAAAAAGCTCCGCGGTGCATGTAATGTAAATATCTAACACCCTTTCAACATTATTTTTTGGTCATTATCTTTTGAAATTTTTAATTTATTTAGTTAATTTTTCAACTGTAACTTTTTGAATTTGTCAACTGAGCAATTTAGCTGTTTTATACCTGCTAATGTGTCGAGTTCGATGAATTAAAAATTCGAATGAAAATCCAATACGGGTATAGCTATAGAGACAATACGGGTATAACTATACAGCTATAGAGGCTGCGTTTCAAGAAATTGTAAAGTACTTTATGATTTCATAGGTTTTTTACATGTATCATGACATAACAGGAAATTGGAATGAAAAAGCTAATGGGAAGCTCTGCATGCACAATTGTTATTTTCATATTCAGATAAAGAATTTTAACATCGTCTTGGGTTTTTAATCTATTGTATCTAAAATAAATGATTTGCTTTGATTTTAATTTGATCTCGCTTTCTTCACTTCCTTAGCGCTATCCACTAAAAGCATTTTTCATCGTTCAATAAATCTCTTGAAACACAAGAAGTTGAAATTTATATTGAACCGAGTAAGAAGAATAAAGCATAAATTTAAAGTTAACCAAGTTTCATTATTTTAAAAATTATAACCACGTACCTATATAATAGCTACAGTGGCTACCAATAAGAGAGCCATCATGCAGCCATATGAGACTAACTCGATCTATTTCTGAACAGTTTTCTCTACACAATTTTGCTGAAATGACTTTTTTAGATAATGCTCATATATTGCTCAAAAATACGTTTTGATCGTGATCTGCTTGCATCACAGATGTATTTGTGACGTAGTCGTTGTTGATCTAATTATAAATTTAAAGTCTTCTGTGATAACGTACATACATCCAACAATCAATTATAATTTAGAGCTTTACTGTATATCCTTGGATCTATGCAATGATGTGTTTAATGATATGGTGGATATGGTGGTTATTGTGGCTGTTATTTGGTCAAGGATTCACAATGAAAATGGGTTGGAATGAAGAGCTTGAGTTTTGTGAGGAAGAATGGAAGAATTTTGTGGCGGACAAAAGTGAAATCGATTCGAAATGCAACAATACTCGTACACGTTGTTGTGTTGAGGAGAAGAAATATCTTTTGGAGCGATTTAAAATGTTTAGTGAAATATGTCCTCTTGAAGGTAAAGTAAACAACAGTTTAGTTTACAGTAAGTACAGAACATCAACTGGCCATGTACTTGGCAAACAATCACAACACTTATATTACTGAGAAACTGTTTAATTTAAATATGTAATTGAAACCGTGTTCTTAGAAAGTGCAATAAAGTAAGGTACCTAAAGTAAATGGTTTGAACCCGTAAGGTACATGTTAAAGTACTCAACTGATTTGGATACACTAGCTTCACAGCATTGACGCAGAATAATATCTCGTTCATTGTTCCTCTGTCTAGTTCAAAAAGCAAAGTAATATGACAGTAGAGTCAAAAACAGTAATATATGCAGTTATATGATAAAGTCTGTATAGTTATTGTCTATTTGGGTTTAAGGAGGACTTTCGATTCAATGTGAATAGTATGTATTATTTGGTGGCCAAATGAGTGTCACTTTCTACTTGTTCTTTTTCTCTGGACAACCAGTTAAAGATAACTTAATTTTTTGTTAGGTACATGTGGATGCAGCCCGATGATTTTGAACTTTACTGCTGTGTCATACTTCGATTACCTTTTTTATCGTGATCGTTATTTAGAATTGGCAAAATGGAAAGAACCAGAAAACTTCACGTGTCCACATAAGTACATAAATGAAAAAGTAGAAAAGTATTATCTTATACGTGATACTAACTTTGGAATCATACAAGACAAAATCCCTTACAAGTATGTTTTATACGGTGGAAAAACTCACTTTTGTCATGTTGTCATCAACAGGAACAGAAAACGAGGTACATGCAAAGGCAGTTCATTTTAGTTTCTTCTGTGTCAGTTTAATTTATAGTGCACCAATGTGATTATAATGCTTCATATTCAACTTCGCTCAAATCCATACGACACTTTGACCTATATTTAATTCATCATGTACGTATACTCTTAAGTGAATTTCTTTGCAGTTGCAAAGCTAATAGAATACACCCCGGAACAGCCAAGCATGTTTAATTTGTCATACATATATTATAATGTAGACCTGTAAAAGAGTAAAAGCTCAATTCAAGAGCGTGTCTTGGTTATTTTCGGGTTTATTGATTTTATTCATTAACGATCACGTTGGAAGATTTTGGTTGTTTGTTAATGGGTGTGAGGGTTAGGGTTAAGATGTTCATATATTGATTTGTGCTAGTTAAGCTTTATTATTATAATACAACGGTAATGCAATCTCGATTGTGATTGTCTAAAAGCCTTCAAATAATTGTCAATACACTATCACCTAGAAAAACATTGAAAATTACCTGTAGGTGACGAATTTTCTTTATGAGACAACTGTATATACAAGAAATATTTTGGTAGAGTCTTCATCGAGACTTTCAAGTGTTTTACTCTGCTCAAATTATCGGGAATATAGAGGAAAGAACACCGAAAGTGTTAAACTGTTTGTCCAGAGAGTTTTCATCGCGTATTTACAGGAAATAGACGAAAGCGAACCGCAAAATTTTTTCAATCAGACTGCAGTCAGCGCTATCCCCCTCAGATTTGCTTCGGTAGATATCCAATTGACCTCGGTCTGAATATTCTTTTATAACATGCTCAACTTAATTCAAAAATTGTTAAATATTTTTAACGGGAAAATGTTCTTATATCACTTCAGTAGAAATATATTTCGTTGTATATTAACCCTCTGTATAATATCCCTGTACATATTTGTATGCATCTCTCTTCTGCATGTATAAACCTTTATAAACCCTTAAAAAAGCCTCACGATTTTGTATAAGCCCTGGTATGATATTTATTTAAATTGTTTTGAATTTTAAATTGTGCAACTCTGGTATTCTTATTATCAAGAGCACTATTTCACAGCACAACTTAAATGAACTCCACCAAAAAGAGTGTACAGCTTACAGAGTTCACAATTCAGTTTTACATTGAATTATATATTCCTTGTCTTCAAGTTTGAATAATACTAACCTAAATCATCAACTTTTTCTGGGCACAAATTTGTATAAGTGTTTAGATAAACTTCCTTTTCATCAAAAACGAAAGTCATGGGAGTTTATACAGATTAAAAATCAGGTTAAGCAAACAATCTTAAAATATTTCAAATATTTCAATTGCGTAAACAAACCATAACTCTCCCTTTTCCATCGTAACAGACCGTGCGCCGTGAAATTTTTATTGATTGATTTTTTACACTTTTCAACTTGTTTGTAAAATTTTCCAGTCTCCATGCCATTGAACTAAAATACATGGAACACTACATCAAGCATATAATTGAACCATATTTTACGCTACACACGCGAGATTTTACCCAAGACACGCGCGTTTAGTGTTTCGAGTTCCTCTCGCGGAGTAAAAATTGATTGACTACACACTCGTGTCTGGGGTAAAGTTTTGCGTGTCTGGGGTAAAATCACGGCTCTAAAAAATTATTAGGGTTTTGTATTACAGGTAGCGTTCCATGTATTTTAGATCAATGCTCCATGCTGGATGCCTTAAATTGTTTCATACGCTATTATTTTTAAAATGACTCTCAACAGCAATTGGTTTATTTAATTCTTTAGAAAGGTTGAATTTCAAGATGGCTTTTTTTGGAGTGTTTTTTCCTATATTGATAGAATTCAGTATGCTAGATTATTTTTCATAAAGTCATATTATTTATATATGTATATTTTGTAGAGTGTGGTATTTTCAATCAATTTTATCATGTATCATTGTCCTTTTTCAGATACGAATGGATTTTTTATCAAATATGTTCAGTCAGGAAAGTGTGTTGGGAATTATCCAATCTCTGCCAACCTGTATACAATGAAATGTTTTGAGGAGTCAGCTTATTTTAAATTTTTACAATCTGGCTCCATCAATAGGTCGAATACAACAAGGTGTCTTGAGGGATACGGAAATTATCCAGTGTTATCTTATGGAAATTTTAATGGAGAATGCGGAGCCATCAATACCATAACCCAAACAAATTGGGGTGGTCTAGTCTTTTCACGCTTTAATAAATGTATAGTATATACAGGAAGTAATTTAGTCTTGAGACTGGCTAATTGTAAAAATGAAGAAAATCAGCGATTCAATTTTGGCAAGTGAGAATATTCATCCAGTTAGCGTATATATACTTAAACTCTACTTAAAAGCCACTGCAAGGCCACAGATATAGGAATGGCGCCAGTTATGTCACTGCCATCACACACTTTATTTTTATCAAATCAAGTTTTATTTTACAGGAATTCACAAATAAGGTTGTATAGATATGAATTTACTTATTTTTTGTGTGTCTTTAATAGGCTCAGTAACATGTGATGGAAAAAATATATCGGACGTTAGTTGTTCTAATAATCAATATATGGTGATAAAAGTTGCAGAATATCGTGGATTGAGAAACGGAAGTATTTGTGGCTACAGTTATGACCACAGTTGTAGTGTCGATGTAACCTGTGACCTAAAAAATTACTGTGATGGTGAAAGGGAATGTAATATAACTGTTGATGATAATCATTTTCATTCGAATATTTGTCCTGGTTTGGAGAAATATCTTTACTTTGAATATCAATGTAACTACACAAGTATGCCATACAGAAAAATTTGCAATCGTAAGTATTATATGGGCAGATTATATTTTGCTTCTTATTAAAGAGCTTCGGGACAAATTTCGACCTTAATGCGCAATGGTATGGTGCTCATTTTTGTACTATGTACGTCATCAATTTAGAAAAATTGACACAAATTTGAATTTTCGTCGGGTGTCTTCACCAGGCGTGGTTTGTTTATGCAGTTTTATCTCGTATTGTATAATTTAGTTTCTTTTTATAATGTGACATTTAAAATTGTGTCCTAAATATTTTTCATAAGTTTAATGGTTTGGTGAATTTTGTGTTTTTAGTTTGTTAATGCAAACTTTGTTCATGGAAACATATCTTCTTCCAGTCAATTTGATTTATGAAATCTATTTCTTTTTTAAAATCTTTTGGCCATTCTATGTAGGCCAAAAGTGACATTTACAATTGCATTTGTATTCATATTTTCATGACTTCACACTACAGAATTTTTACATATACTGTATATATATACAAAGATAGATTCATTACAATTCCTATGAATTGGGAAGCTAAACGCAGCGCTCACCTATAAAAAACGGTATTTGTTCCGGTTTCATTAATGATTCACATAATCACTTAGACACATTTTGTTGTGATTCGTGTTTACAACACAAGAGAAAAGTTCTCAGTTCAATTTATTTGCCTGTAGTTCATTGTCAACTTAAAGATTAAAATCAAAACAGTGCTTACAAACTTTAAGTGTAAATCTATAAGATACTGTGTCCATCAGAATGTGGAAAAAATTTCTGGTTAAGTGCTTTCAAACTAAAATTTTTTTTAAGTTAATGTCACCTTCTGTGTTCTTCTGATATTCAAACTCCGTGTATATATTTTATTCATGGACGAGATTTGTCATATTTATGTTCATAAAACCACTTCTAAAAACACAGATTTCACTTTAAGATATGTGCCATGATCATAATTAAAGGAAAAAATAATTTTAATTTGTGTAGTTATGGATGTACGCCTGTCTAAATCGAATCTTCCGAACAAAGGTGTCGTGAATGTTATTACCAAGCTTAGAAACTTCACCATTTGCAACAAAGGTCTTTTGCATAAAATAAAGACGATTATCTGTAAACAACTTGGTTATCCTACCGCAGCATCTGGGGCAGGCTCAATGTCACTATCATCTTTGATGCATCAATCGTTTATACCTGGAAATGTCAAATGTGATGCGCAAGTGAACGATTTATCTCAATGTGCTATCACTCAAAATAATGATTGCTCTCAATACTTGTACGTTACATGTAAGCATTCTCATTCAATTTTTTGAATGTATTAACGTATTGCAGGACACATTTGTATGACGTTAGAAAAAGATTTTTAGCGAAGAATTTAAGGAATGAATGTGTTACTTTTGTGTTCTCTACTTACATCTGTGTATTGTTAAGCATCATGACTTACCTCTATCATCAAGACTTACATCTGACATCGTAGTGTCACTGTATTTTACGCTGACTTGGAGAATTTCACAATTCTTCTTTTACATAACAAAAGAAATATAGCATCACAAAATATAAACGATTGCTACTCTTAAATAATAAATAATTAAAACAGGATTGCTGCGAATACTGAGGATTAAATTAATTTTACTCTTGCTACTTCATTTCGTGCTTCAAAAAATGTCCAATTGTCATTCCTCTGCAATACGATTGACGTTCACTCTTTAATGGAATTTAAATCGCTACGGTATTGTTGTTATTTGACAAGATACTTACGGTTTCTTGTCATAGCTGGCTTGATTCCAACTGGAATTTAACCTTATTTAATAAAAGCATGCAAAATCAGTCGTATTCCTCCAATATATCTTGTGCTCTTTTTCTTTCTTAAGAAAACAGTTTTAATTTTTCCAATTTTACGTGAATGGAGAACAATATGAGAGTGCACCATTGCTCTCTATCAAATCAAACCAGTTCTAATGTTATAATGCATTTCAACCAAATCCTTTTCTATTTAAGGTCATGTTTGTGATAATCCTCTATTAAAAAACGCAGAAAAATTCCCAGATTCTTGGTTTACTGCCTTCCCAAAGAGTCGTAGTGCTGCTAAAGCAAGAATATCCAGTGGTAGTTCATGGTGTGCTCCTGCTGCTAATGGCAATCATTACCTTCAACTGAATTTTCCGAGTCTTTATACAGTTAACGTTATCACTATCTTTGGAGACAGTTCAAGTTCAAGCTTTGTAACTAAATATCACTTGCAGACAAACATTGATGGTGTGAACTGGAAATCTGAAAAATCCCAGAAGGTAACAGTAGACTTATCGAATTTGTATATTATAAATTTAAAGGGAAATTTAAAAAAGGAATGAAGTTATAAACTAAGTAAACTTTTAAATTGCTATTTATATACAAACTTGTGTGCAGATGTTGATTCAGTGGTGTAGCCGGCACGCAAAATTGCTGGTTCTATGTAAATTTCAGATCATTATCATTATTCATTTCTTTAGAGATCTATTGTTTTACAGTTAGTGAGCTCTGAGAAATTTACATATAGCACGACCAAATTTGTGGGCTAGCTACGTCACTGTGTTGATTGTCTTGGTTACTCCTGCACTACGAAGGACTCTTGCATTTGATTATAAAGTTTAAATTGTAGCTATGTGCATGATTTGAAGAGATACATAGACAATGCATAAACTACTCTCCTCTGGACAGCGTTAAACAAACCTTTCTTTTCTCTAACCTTGCTCTGCAAATACACGAAAATCAATTTTTTGTTTTATTCCAGATTTATCTAGGAAACAAAATGGTTACAATGATGCGGCTATAGAAAAGTTTTCTGGTGGCCTTAAATCCAAAGCTTTGCGAATCTTTCCATTGAAATTTGTTGGTGCACCGTGTTTACGAATTGAAATTTGTGGTGGAGGTAAGAGGTAGAAAAAATATACCAGGTTTACTTTGCACTGTAAGCACTTAATTTTTCAATATATAAAGTTTTTTTCTCTGAGTATTAATTAAACATGAGTTAGTTGACAAAACAGAACAATTTTCCATGAAGGCTGAAGTGTTAGTTTCTTTCTCTGTTGAAATAAACTTATTGAAACAAGCCTTTTCAACATGCAGTTAAGTTTAACACGTGTTATTGGAGAAAAAGCAGAACACTTATTTCACTTAGGGCTACAAATGGTTCAATTTGTAGATTTTTCTTTATCGTGCAGACTTACTCCCAGACAAACCAACAGATCTCATTGCAACCAAATCTGCATCGACGTACCTCGAGATATCATGGAAACATCCCAAAAAAACTGGTGTAAAACTTGGTACAAATATCTCGAATCCTCTTACAAGATATCTATTGATTTTGCTGAAGGATACTATGATTGTTTTGATAAAACTCTGGAGGTAACTGACAAAAAACCGTACAACATTACGAATCTTGTTCCTTACGCAACGTATAAAGTTAATGTAACCGCTGGCAATTCTGAAGGCTTTGGTAGATCAACTACAGCTACTTTTAGAACTGCTGAAGATGGTGAGTTCATATCAGTTTTTGTGTATACATATCGGCTGTTGTTGCATTGATGGTGTTATTGCCATAGACGACTTTTGAAAGCTCAAATCTTTTCTGGTCGATATTTATTTCAATCATGTTTTTTTTATACTGTATTATATTTAAGTTAACAATGACAGTGTACACTTGTTAGGACTTCTTTCTAAAGTGTATTTAATATTTTATATAAATCTTTAAAACAAATGTTTTTATTTTTGTTTAGTTCCCGAAGGTCCACCTTTAAATGTTCAAATTGTCGCCTTAAGCAGTTCATCGTTATCAGTTACGTGGGAGCCACCAGACAAGAAGAAAACAAATGGAAAGATAGTCAGTTACACTGTTTGTATTACACATTTGGAGAATGAAACCTGTTCAATGAAGTATATGATCGAGGAACAGCGTTTGGACATAAATAATGTGAAACCAGGGACAAAATATTATGTTCGTGTTTTAGCTTCTACAATAGTGGGATCTGGATGTTACAGCAATGTTACATGGGTATTTACAAATGGATGTAAGTTGTCTATGGTTTATGCACAGGTTTGTTTAAGATGATAAATTTATTCAAGTTTATTTATTTAGTGGCACCTGAACTGTCCACCAAGCAGATTGGAAATACGTTGACTTATTTGTTGCAAAATCCAAATTTGGAATATCGGTAACTATGTATTTTACTAGAGCAAATTATTGTAAAAAACTTAAAGGAACTTAAAAGTATTTTTGAGTTTTCGGATTCATGGCTAAGTATAGGACAGTTGGTTTCATGTGGGATCGAGGTAGTCTAAATATCTCTCTGGGGAAGCTTTGATGACTCGTCGCTTTTCTTTGGCATTGCGGATGCATGCATAACATATATTTTAACCATTAACAAAAGCAGAGGTTATGCATGTATTTTAAAGAATGTTTTGCCTTAAATTTGCAGTTATTTCTATGTAGTCGCGATGAAAAATGTCACAGAAGAGAGTCGACTGCCTTCTAACTTTAAAAGCACAGACTTAGTGACTTATTCTAAGGCCATATCTTCCACACAACCAATGCCGTATATTGCTGCTGTAGTCTCTCGCCGAGACTTTAAGCCTAATTTTACACTTGGTGACGGTGAAACCACAACACGGCGTTCAAATGGTGAAAATTATTATAATGGCCGCTAGAGCCTAGCACTAGCTACAAAATATTTCAGCGCGTTTTCATAAATGATCAGGTACGACCATTTATTTACGTATTCATCAGCATTGATTGCTGCAATTTTTATTCAAATATAAATGTTCACTTCGTTTCAGGGTGATTATTATTCCACTGACTGGAGTCCAGTGGCAGCAACTACCCAAAAGCACAAGTCTTCAGGTTTGTGTTTGCTTTCAATAGCATAAGGAAGTTTATCGATGTCTAAAGTGCAATGAAATTTTTTAACGAATTCTTTCTAAAGTGTAGTTAATATTTTATATAAATCTTTAAAACAAATGTTTTTGATTTTGTTTAATTCCCGAAGGTCCACCTTTGAATGTTCGAATTGTCGCCTTAAGCAGTTCATCGTTGTCAGTTACGTGGGAGCCACCAGACAAGAAGAAAACAATTGGAAAGATAGTCAGTTACACTGTTTGCATTACACATTTGGAGAATGAAACCTGTTCAACGAAGTATATGATAGAGGAACAGCGTCTGGACATAAATAATGTGAAACCAGGGACAAAATATTATGTTCGTGTTTTAGCTTCTACAATAGTGGGATCTGGATGTTACAGCAATGTTACATGGGTATTTACAAATGGATGTAAGTTGTCTATGGTTTATGCACAGGTTTGTTTAAGATGATAAATTTATTCAAGTTTATTTATTTAGTGGCACCTGAACTGTCCACCAAGCAGATTGGAAATACGTTAACTTATTTGTTGCAAAATCAAATTTGGAATATCGGTAACTATGTATTTTACTAGAGCAAATTATTGTAAAAAACAAAGGAACTTAAAAGTATTTTTGAGTTTTCGGATTCATGGCTAAGTATAGGACAGTTGGTTTCATGTGGGATCGAGGTAGTCTAAATATCTCTCTGTGGAATGCTTTGATGACTCGTCGCTTTTCTTTGGCATTGCGGATGCATGCATAACATATATTTTAACCATTAACAAAAGCAGAGGTTATGCATGTATTTTAAAAAATGTTTTGCCTTAAATTTGCAGATATTTCTATGTAGTCGCTATGAAAAATGTCACAGAAGAGAGTCGACTGCCTTCTAACTTTGAAAACACAGACTTAGTGACTTATTCTAAGGCCATATCCTCCACACAACCAATGCCGTATATTGCTGCTGTAGTCTCTCGCAGAGACTTTAAGCCTGATTTTACACTTGGTCATGGTGAAAACACAATGCGGCGTTCCAATGGTGAAAATTATTATAATGGCCCGCTAAAGCCTGGCACTAGCTACAAAATATTTCAGCGCGTTTTCATAAATGATCAGGTGCGACCATTTATTTACGTTTTCAACAGCATTGATTGCTGCAATTTCTATTCAAATATAAATGTTCACTTCGTTTCAGGGTGATTATTATTCCACTGACTGGAGTCCAGTGGCAGCAACTGCCCAAAAGCACAAGTCTGAAAGACCCATAACGGCAACTGCCCAAAGCACAGGTTTGTGTTTGCTTTCAATAGCATCAGGAAGTTTATCGATGTCTAAAGTGCACTGATTCAAGATCTTTGCAAATTTCAATATAGTAAAATGCCTGAAAATTTTTAACGATGAATATACATTTTGTTTGATGATACAACCGATTTAATTCCTACAAATAACTGCCTTAGTGATTTTGTGTACGTCTTCTCTAATTTCATTGCGTTCCAAACCTAATTTATACCATAAATAAATCATGAATAGTTAACAGGGATGAATACATGAGGTGTGAGAGCGGTTACACCCTCAGCTTTACAAAAATGATCGCTAAAAGACAATATTTGTTGGTAATGTTATTATTTGTCATTCAATTTTATCTTGTAGACGTTGGAAAAATTGGAGCCATTGCTGGTGCAGTTGTAGCTGCAATTTTGCTCATTATTTTTGTCATATTGGTCATTCTTTTTGTTAGGATCAATTCAAACTCTGCTACAGTGCAGTGAACTGCGTATTGTAGTTATTTGACGGCTACTAAAAGTTCTCAAAAATGGGGGAAGTTGACTTTTTTTCGCGAAATTATTAGACGTTTTCTGAAATTTAACGTACTATAGAAGAATATGATTAAGCATAGAATTTTATTTCCTTTTTAACTATAAGAGTGAACGAGAGTGAATGTTTCTAAACAGTATTTGAAAACAATTTAGAACATAACATCAAATTTTTAGACTAAGGATGTAGTCAATATTTGAAATAGGATAAAAGCTGTAATAATTTTTATCTAAATACGTTAAATAAGAAATAAAGTTAAATTACAAATAAACAGTGGCGTAGCATGCTCATTTTTTATTTTAATGAGACGGGGGGGGGATTTTGATACATTCATGTATTTTGGAGTTTGTGGAATATGTATGAATATGTACACACTGTCATCTCATTAATTTACTTGACGTAAGAAACAGGGAGATTTAGTGGATGGAGTTTACTTTGTTACCAACTTTGTTAGTTTAAAAAAAATGGTACTTTAAAGCATATTCTTGTCCTTTCTTGTTTTCTCTTCTTATCGTCATGATGATATTCATAGAAAATATCCTAAGTTATCGAGTTAATTGAATTTCCTGATTATTTGATTGCGAGAGTGCTAGGAACGTTGTACTTCGGCTGTAGATTAGTGATTAACGAAGAAGAAGAAATGGGTTGGAAACAACGACTTGACATTTTAAAAAACATAAAAAATGTATGTGTCAGAAAGCTCTATTGCAAAACATATCCTTTGGTTGAATACTAAGGAAGGAGCAGAGTGGTTTCAAGTTAATTGGTGACAATCAAATCGTTAATGAATAGTCTGTTGTTAACCCCTCTCCTCGTTTTTCTACACCGGCCTGAACACCACCGAAAGATTGATCTCTGTTTAAACGCGGCCTTATTTACATTTGCTTTCGAATTATGCTTTATTTACGGAAAATATCAACTTGTTACAAATACAGAAATACGGGGCAATTACAATGAAACATGAAGGTATCTTTATGAGGGTATTGAAGACTTGTGCGAAACAGCGAATCAGGTATAGTCACGGAAAACATAGTCGACCCTCTCACGAGTATCTCCGGTTAAGGTGGCTCGATAGGAAAAAAATCAAGAAAAATTCAATTTTTCAAAAGTATCATTTTTAGACAGTTTTACTAATAATCTTTCATATACAATAGAGTTTTATAATACTAGGCTTTTATTTTACGTGATTTTAGAGGTTTTCTAAGATGCACCATAAATTTTTTATTGGTAACCATGAAAACCACATCAATTTTTTTTCAAAATAACCATGTTATACAGTTTTGCATGGTGATTTTCATTTTGTTTTGTAAAAGTAGAGTCTTTACAAAGAGGACTGGTAAGTAGCCCACTTAAATCGCCTGGTTACCAAGTCAGAATGATCATGCATTCATGCCATTGAGTTCTATAATAACTGGAGCGGCTAAGTGGACTGGGAACTGTTGTAAAAAACATGGCGGCCAACGGACGTATTTCGGCTGAAATGATCGCTTTGCAGAAAAATAATATTCTCGACCTCCTCCGGATTGACGTTATTGATTTTCCCGCCTTCAGTTGAAAATTTCAAATGCAATTGCAAGCTGTATGATAAATAAACAATATTTTCAAGGCCAAAACAATATTTTTTTCAAAAATGCCTAATCGATGTTCAATTGTAGAATGTCGTAATATTGACAACGCGAAGGACATCGCTTTTCACAGTTGAGTTATTCGCTTATTTTGTTTGTTCCTGAAAGATTGAATCGGCATTTATACAATTGAAAGCCCCAAAATCTGTTAGGCCTTATGAAAAAACATTGTCTTAAATACTGCATACACTGATGTTTTCCTGTGTGTTTTTTAAAAAATTCAACAAATTTGTTTATTTATTTGTTGAATCAACGCATGAAACAATAAATTTACTAATCTATTTCAAATAGTTTTCCTGACGAAGAAAAAAACCCTGCACTTTTTGGAATGGGTAAATAGTATAAAGAAATGGTCGCCTCTCACAGTTCTAACTAAGTGGAGCAGAGTTTGCTCAGATCATTTTCCGATAGCATGAAGAGAATATCAGGTAACAAAGTGTGTCTAGAAGATAGTGCTGTGCCCACATTATTTCAACAGGTGAAGGATGTTGAATGTACGAAGAGCACTGAAAAGGTGAGTCGTCATTTCTCTACTCATGATCACTCGTATTGTCTTAAGTCTCCCAGGAGACTGAAAAGACAATTGGAAGATGTTATAGACCGGGCAGAGTATTATAGAAAGAGGTTAAAAGTGTCTAATATGGAAAAAAGTAGACTGAAAAAGAAGGTAAATGATTTATTGTCAATCATTGATTGCCTTAAAGATGATAAAATGATCAGCTCTGATCAAGCTGAACTTCTTAATGCTTCACTATCTGGGGTTCCTGAAGATATTTTGAGTCGTTTAGTGGCAAACACTCAGGGTAAAAAAGGTGCTCAATACCCCCCAGAATTGCAAGCTTTTGCACTAACTTTGAAATTTTACTCGCCTAAGGCTTATGATTATGTTCGTGAGAAGTTTAATTTAGCCTTACCTCATCCAAGAGTAATTCGATCTTGGTATAATTCCGTGGATGGTGACCCTGGTTTCACCAAGGATGCCTTGAATGCTTTGAAAGTGAAGGTTCAAGAATCAAAGAAAGATGGCAAGGAAGTCATATGTGCATTGATGCTGGATGAAATGTCAATCCGTAAACACGTAGAATGGGATGGTCAAAAAGTTTGTGGTTATGTTGACCTTGGTACTGGGATTGACGATGATTCACTCCCTGAAGCAACAGAAGTTTTGGTATACATGGCTGTTGCTCTAGATTCATCTTGGAAAGTACCAGTTGGTTACTTCTTGGTAGATGGCCTCACTGCAGAAGTAAAAGCAAATTTAACCAAGGAGTGTTTGATGCAGTTGCATGATGTTGGTGTTAAAGTTGGAAGTTTAACGTGTGATGGTCCATCCACACATCTTGCAATGATGAAGTTGCTTGGAGTGAAACTTTCACTTAATGATTTCCAAGCATATTTTTTACATCCATCTGATTTAATGTTGAAAATTTATGCATTCTTAGATCCTTGTCACATGATCAAGCTTGTCAGAGGAGCAATTTCTGAATTGAGAACTCTGAAGGATGAAAAAGATGGTTTGGTAAGATGGCAATACCTAGTTGAGCTAGAAAAACTGCAAGCCTCAGAAGGCTTGCGACTTGCCAACAAACTAAAGAAAGCTCACATAAACTGGAAGCCACAGAAAATGAAGGTAAATTTAGCAGTGCAAGCACTCAGCTCGAGTGTTGCAGATGCTTTAGAGTTCTGTGAAGGTAAGCTCAAACTTCCACAGTTTAAAGGGTGTGATAAAACAGTCAAATTCATTCGAGTATTTGATCGCTTGTTTGACGTTTTGAATTCCAGGAATCCAATTGCTAAAAATTACAAAGCACCAATAAGGAAAGCGAATTACAAGCTGATAAAAACCTTCTTGGATGAAGCAAGGCAATACGTCTTAAATCTGAAGGGTGCTGATGGAAAGTCGATTTTTCCCATAAGAGGAAAACAGGATTCTTGGGGTTTCTGTTGTGCATTGAAGCAGTGCAAGGGCTTGCTGAGGATCTTGTTATAAGTGAAAATTCTCCCTTAAATATTTGCTTACTTATAAGACAAGTCAAGATCATTTAGAATTGTTTTTCAGCTGTGCGAGCGTCAGGAGGTTGGAACAACAACCCGACATCTCGACAGTTCAAAGCAGCGTACAAGCAGTTGTTGATGCGACATAACATTAAAGGAGGTCATGGAAATTGTGTTGCTCAGGATGGTACCGAAATTCTAAGTAGACTAGAAGATCGGTGTGAGAGTGAACAAATGTCGGCAGATATTTCCGATGTAAATACTGCAAGAAGATACGATCTAGAACTGCGTGGGCCAGAACAAACTGACCACGATTACAGCGACACCTCAAACTACATTCAGCTTTCAGACTACAAGGAGGCAGCAATATCGTATATTGCTGGGTATGTCGCAAAAATGGTGAAAAGGAAGATCCATTGTGATGATTGTATGGATGCTCTGACATCATCTAAAGAAAGAGCACCAGAACTATTTGTGGCATGGAAGAGCAACGGTGGTTTAAAAATACCAACTGACGATCTTCTGAAAGTGTGTCAGGAAACAGAGAAATGTGTAATGAGGATGGTAAATTCCTGCCATGGTGGCTTGCCACATGCAGCAGCAAACATATCGAGTGCAATTGCTGCGACGGTATTATCTGTGTGTAGAAAAAGTTTTAGCATGTTAGATGAGCATGTGTTAGAGTCGACAGTTACAGATAATCATGCTTATAAACTGATAAAGTGTTGTGCTGAGGCATTTGTGAAAATAAGAATGCATCACTTGACCAAAACGCAAAACGATAAGTTGCAGGGTCAGAAAATTCGTAAAAGCTGTCTAAGCTTGTGTTGTTCAATCATCAGTAGATTGAACGTTGCCTGGACACTATTGTGTTTTCGAGGCTTTGCCTGTGCCTAGAAATGGAATTTTCATTTGACTATTCCATTTTTTTGAGGCTGTAGGCGTCCTGGCACATAGCAATATGTGTTTCGAGGAGAAATTTAATGGTGCCTGCACATTTGTGTTCGAGGCTTAAAAATGTAACATGAAATTATAACCTAGTTTACGTAACTAAACAATTAAAAAGAATGAAAAGTAATTCGAAATGCAAGTCTTCTATGTGAGTATTCCTCTACAACATAGTACAATATAGAACAACAATAGCACAATATTCATTTTGAACTATTTTTTATAGAGAAAAAAATACTCAACAAAACAGCCCAATTGGACGACATAAGAAAACTATTTTGTGGTCGTAACATTGATAGCACTTTCAATCAGATCGAGCGTTGTAGTAAGTGCTTTTTAAAATTAAACCAGTCTGTCAATTGATAAATGAATTGTTAACGTTCTTTTAAAAATAAACGTTACTCAATATTAAACGCACGTGTTTAACTTACAGGTGACATTATGAATATTGCCGGGATGATCTGCATGCGGAAGTCCTTGAACAACGTTCATGATGCGTAACATTTTATCTTTAACATTTTTTTGTACCTTATAGTTCAATGAGTTCACATTGTTTATATAGTTTCTTGACTTGTAAAAAGCCAATGGTTAAACTTCGAATAACTTGAAAAAAAAATTTAGAAGATTGTTACTTGAATGCAGGGTGTGACTTGAGTCCGAGAATGGAGAGGGAAACGTTGCAGAATTTGATTTGCCAAACAAAAACGTAGTGTAATTTTTATGTTAATACCAGCAAAATCGCTTTTACTTAGTTATGAGTTGATCCAAACGTCATCGTTAATATTTGCCGTTTTAATTTCCGCAAAATTACATGCTTTGCTCGACAAAACTGCTAACTTTTGAAAGGGAGAGGCTGAGCCACCACATATCAATCCCTCTCCAGGATTTACACCCTGTTTCAACGTTACTGATACAGCAATTAACGATTTGTGCACGCTAAATTTACATGTATATTATCATGGGAATCATCTCTTACAAACTATAAAAACTTTAAAATTCAATGCAATATTTAGTTCTTCATAGTTAAAAAGTTTGATTTGTTAACCAATCAGAATACAGCATTGGCGTTTGTCATTTGCATTTTTCCCTTTTTTTAAATACTATAAATATTTTAAAACTTGTCTGAATTTTCCTTTGCTTATTTCTTGTTTTATTGTATTTGCCAACTTTCTATTGTGGTCCATGGATGAAAAGAGGTTAGTACAGATCAATAATTTAATAATTTCTGATCTGAAAAGCTTTATATGAAGCTTTCAGCATGGAAGTAAACAAAAAGTGATTCATTTACATGGTTTAAATCCCTTCTTGCAAAATATCTATTTACACTTTATCGTTTTTTGCATACAAAAACACCAGATGCTAGATTATACAGATGAGGAAAAAGCAATGGACACTGGTATCAAATGTGTATAAAATTTGTTTTTGTTTTGAAAACTGAAAATCACTCAAATAGTTCAATTGCATTCAAAACAGGTCAGGAAACTGAAGAGGAAGATAATGAAAATGCAAGTGTGTATTTAGCCAAAATGGTTATACTGTTTAATGATTGTTTTTGCTTTATTACACAATACAACAATGCATCAAAATGTGCTAAAATCTACTACTATTTGAGGTGGCTCCAATTCTGAAAACCAAAAATAAAGAAGGTAAACAGTGCTTTGTATACAATACTGTTCTCATTCATATATGATATATGCCCATCAGCTCTCTCATGATACTTTGTCTTTTCACCTGAGCCTTTTCACCAAGAGTCTTTTCACCAAGAGTCTTTTAACCTGAAATTTAATCATACACATAACAAATCAAACAGCACCTAACAAACGATTTGTTTATGTAGAAAGCAATGTCAAGCAAAAGTTCATTTAAAGGTGTGGTATAGTGTATACATGTACTAATTGCCTTTGATGCCTGGCTGATAATTGCCATTGTTTTTTAATGAAGGAAGATGCTATAATTGTGGCCACAAAGGCCACAAAATGAATGAATGCAAGAAAAGTAATGACAAAAATGAAATAACATTTCTTTCATGACCATTGTAATTGACAATTATATACTTTTTTTTGTATAGAGTTTAATCGTATGAGAAGAAGTAAGTTTGATTGACCTAGTGATAAAACATCAGCTTGATTAGATGGTTGAAAACTTCAAGTTGCATGCATTATTGTTAACAGAATTAAGCTAATGACACAAACAAATAAAAAGTTTTATGAACTACAGCTTTCTTATGAATATTTAACAGGACGACGTTGCTACATATGCAAAAGATTGGGCCATGTTGCCAAGCAGTGTAGGGAAGGAAACCTACCAGTCAAAAACGTGCTGAACAATTGCAGCAACTGCACAATAAACCTTACAAGGAAATAAATTTTAAATATTTTTTTTTGTCATTTAGTCATCTTTAGCAGAAATACAAAAAGATTATATATTGTTTTTTTTCTCAAAACTTCATTAAAAGAAAATTCTTATTGCAAATATGTTGTGTAACTTAGTCTGATTTCACTAACATACATTACCACATTGACATAAATATGACTATAGAGTACTCTTTAAGAGTTAAGTAAAGAACAAATTCTGAAGAAACAAGACATCTTGAGATGTAAAATGTGAATCAAAACAAGACGTGAACTGTAAATTTTGATTTATTTCAAAGTCATCCACAGACAGAATGATAATCCAAACCATGCATACACATATATTAAGAAATGGTTTGTTAACACGGGACTTAAGGCTAGCAAAGAATTACAACTCTTCTCTTAAATTACAATACACTCATTCCACCAGTCTGGTCTCTTGTTTCAATTCATCCTTTTAAAATATGACAGCACTTCCAACTCCGCTTTCGTAAATATCAAACTATTTAATTTCTATTGCTTGACTTTCGTTACTTAATTCATGCATTGTAAATATATATGTGTATGCATTGTTTGGATTATCATTCTGTCTGAGGATGACTTTGAAATAAATCGAAATTTTACAGTTCACTTCGCGTTTTGTTTTCATTCACATTTTCTCATCTCGAGATATCTCGTTTCCTCAGAATTTGTTTTTTACCATCTTTTTTAAATTGTCGGCTGGACATGGCTCAAGACTTTCTCCTTACCTTGAAAAGAGACCACATCGTCCACATCGTGCACATGTACATTAGACACGATGTTTAAAAACGTTCAAAGAGTTCTTTCGTACATAGTTTATAGTTAATAGCTTTCCTCGCAGGAGCCGATGACTGGAAAGCAAGCACAGTTGACTCGCTGTTACGAATTGTAGGTTTTTATCGTGATTTTCATCAAAAAATTGCTTGCCGAATCCCAAATACACACATACATTTTCCTCACTCTTTCTTCAGGAGGGAGTGGGAAATTGTGAAATTTTCGGAAAAGCGGTCAATTTCGGTAAATCTCAGCGGCAACGGACGAAATCCGCCATGTTTTTTACAACATCAGATATCTAAGGCCGCGCTTGAGATAGCCGCTCCAGTTATTATAGAACTCAATGATAGTAACCTTCAGCCACGGTGCAGCGTTGCAAGCCAATCACAGGGAACGTTTTGGTCATGTGCGCCACGGTGAGCCACCGTGAATGTATTTTGATTGCGCAATAAATACAAGTCATATGCAATAGCTCGGTTCTTGTCGACTTGAAAAAACGCTACTTCTAGTTCTACTCAGCGATTAGGATCAATGGAAGCTTCTAAAAAGATCGATGTTCTTGAAAAGCTCGTCCAAACCTTTCAGCAAGAGAACGCTTGCGAAATGATTTCTGGTGAATTGTCTAACTTGAGACAACACTGTGTTAAAATAATCAACGAGGAAAGGCTTCGTCGTATAAATTCTACTGGCGATATTATGCTACGAACTTGTTTATTTTCAAAAATGGAGTTCCCTGAAAGCCAAATTGAAAGATCAGGACCCAATGTCCCTGTTAGGTAAGAATTTACATGTATTGGGGTATTAATTTATATTTTTATTTACGTTTGACATCTTGGCCTGAAATATATGATCAATCCGTTAATTTTCAGCTATTCATATTTAGTGTATCATGTAAAATATATGTCTAAAGCTGTCATTATTTTGCATACTCAGTCTGTCTAATGTACAGCCTAAATAATTTTAATTGTTACTGTCTGTTAAAAAAGAATGTTTTACTTCAATATTAGTCAAAGCTAGTCCTTTTTAAAATTTAACCCAATCAATAATGTATTATCCTTGTATTCCTGGCATTTTATGTTATCCCCCGGTTAAAGAAACTAACATATCATTTTGAATAACTGTTACTTTCTTTCACGGGTTATATAGAATATTGATGCTATAGTAGATGGAATCAATAAGTCGTCTGAATCCTGTTCGACATGCCTAGACTAGTTCCAAATCTTAGACTACCTGCCTGTGACTTTGACTTTATCATGATGTTACCAAATTAACACAAAGACAAAATAACTTTCTCAATTTCAATATTATTAGTCTATCTTTAACTGTATTGGTTACCCTTATTTATTCTAATGTCAGAGTCAGTCTAGCAGATTTGTTTCCAGGTATAGCTTGGTATAACAAAGCAGCCATTGATACTTAAATACTAATTTTTCTTTCAGTACTTTAGCCAATGGGAATTGTCTGTTCAATGCATGTTCTATTGCATTAGTTGGGAATGAGACTCTCTCTATTTACTTGTGATTCCTAACTAGTGTTGAAATGTTTGAAAATGCAAAATACTATTCTACCCATCCTGTCATCGAGTCCCAGCATAAAAATGGTGCGTTCACTTCACTTAAAAATGCCTTTGCCATGTGTATATCCGATGCAGCTCTAACCTCTTTAGAAAATGCGAATGAAATTGCAGCAGTTTTACAAGAAGCAGTGGAAACAGCAAATAATTACACCTTTTCATCCTTGATGTGTATGTTTGCTTTGTCCACAGTAATCCAGTGTGCTATTCAGTCATACTACCCAATTACTAATGATGCTAAAGTGAAAGGAAATTGGGATTCGTTGGCTAAAATGTTCAATTGTACAATATATCCAAGAGATTTTGTTGATGGGAGTGCAATTGACTATGTCCATATCTTTCGTTGTGCTGCGATGCCACCTTCTTATTTGGTAGATCAAAAAATCCCATCCACCAAAAATCATTTTGTTACTTTGTTTTTAGAGGACCACCTTTGAACATTGCTTTTATTAATCTTGCCATCTTTACGGTTGTTGGATAAACATCTTTGTCGCTGTTGGAAGAAATCACCTTTGAACATTGCTTATATTAATCTTGCCAACTTTACGATTATTGGATAAACATCTTTGCTGCTGTTGGAAGAAGACCACCTTTGAACATTGCTTTTATTAATCTTGCAATCTTTACGATTGTTGGATAAACATCTTTGCTGTTGTTGGAAGAAGACCACCTTTGAACATTGCTTTTATTAGTCTTGCCATCTTTATGGCTGTTAGCAAAGGATCCTTGCTGCTTTTCGAAAAAGACCATTTGATGGGGCAACAAAGATGGGGAATTATATTTTTGTAGTGAACTGTCTTTTGGTTATTCACCGCAAAAATAACATGCTTCATCTTTCTCTCACTCCTGCGGCAACAATCCTGTGATTACAGAAAGGTACGGAAACTGCGTTGATTTTACATCAGACACCACAAGGTAAGTAAAATTTTTGTTCTTCTATCCGAACAGAATTAAAAAAATGGCGATATTCGAATTTTTGTTAGATGAGATTATAACTAAAATATTGTTATATTCTACATTAAAAATGCCGGAATTCGCTTTTCCGAAAGTCTAGATTTCAAAATTTTCTGGGGGAGCATGCCCCCAGACCCCCCTAGCGTTGGCTCGCGCCGAAGGCGCTCGCTACGTCACAGGGCCACGGTCAGCCCAGAAGCTGGATCCGCCCCTGTAGCATGCATTCACTTGCATGTTACAGTGATAAATATTAAAGAAAGCGGGTGAATATTATGAAGATGCTTTCCCTGTCACAAAATGCCACAAAATATAACATTCGATTTTGCCTTTTCCTTTGGTGGAGCCTTCATTTGACTTTATACCATTCTAATTTTTCTATAAACTCACAAAATCAGCAGAGCGCCCTACAATGCAAATGAGACGTTAATAAATCCAAAATACAAACAATAAATATTGCAATTTGATGCTGCAAAATCTCCGTATTTTTATAAATCCGTATACGTGTGGACATGGCCTTAAACGTGCGCACTTAACTTTATAATGACGTAAAACTACTCAAATTTCAAGTACATTATCCGCTGTGTAATAACTGCACCTTGTTAGCCAAATATATAAAAAGCCTGTAAATAAATTCTAACATATAGAATACTCACGACTGTTGTAAATAACTTCTTCGCTAGTGAATAAAATAATCACAACAATTTAATAGCGTTCTAGTACATTGAACTGACGTTCGGAGCTCATACGAAAGACTTATATATAACGCTAAACGCGCAATAAATCGATTATCGCAACAATTTGGACACTGTTGACTTCATTTTGGAGAAGTGTTTTGGATAAAGTGAGGAAAATCGTTATTTCCTTTTCAACACTCACTGATAGCGTTTTGACGAATGTTCCAAGTAAAGGCCTTTAAAATATACGAGTTGAAATCGTTGGGGAGAAGATTATTTACTGCATCGTTTGTTTTCTGAATGAAGTGCTCTCCTGGACAAAGAATTATCTGTACGTTATTGATTTTTGAAACGTGAGTTTTTTTGCACTCCAAAAAGTGAAACTTCAATCGGATTACATTGCAATTATCTTGCGTTGGCACGCGTAGACTCTCAGAAAACGCTTAACAGCATTTCTGATATCGTTTTGCGCCATGATCGAAGTAATAGTTGGCATTATTTTGATATATTTTTTCTGGCGACTTCTCTTTTTTTATTGGTCACATTTTACGTCACGTGATCTGCCACCCGGTCCATTTCCGCTTCCCTTTCTGGGAAACTTAAATTTGATTGGTACGACCGTTCACATTGATTTGGCAAAGCTTGCTAAGAAATATGGCGATCTGATGACAATCTACTTCGGAAGCGAGCGTGCGCTTGTCGTGAGCAGCTCGGAAATGGCTCGGGAGGTACTCGTGAGGCAATCATTTGTTTTTGGTGGAAGACCGTTGAACCTACCTTACGCGGCCATTTTGTTTAGTCACGATGGTAAGAATATCGCTTTTTCGAAAGAAATTTCTCAGCGTTGGAAGAAACAACGTAAAATATTTCATGCTGCTTACAGGACGTTTGGTAATAGTCATGAAAATAAGGCTTGTGACGTCATAAAGGATCTTTTGGCTGACCTGGGAGAAAAAACGGTCACTCTAAGGAACATTCCGCAAGATATATTTCATTGTGTTGCTAACATCATTTGTGCCATAACATTTGGGTTCAAATACGACAAAGATGACCCAGAATTCCATGCTCTCATGAACACTTTTAATATTGTGCAGCAGTATGTTGCCCCTGGCAACCTCATTGATGCCATCCCGTTGCTAAGGAGATTGCCTTTGAAGAGCGTGATTAAACTTAAGTCGGCCACTAATCTTTTGGACACGATTGTTTTGCGAATATACGGGGAGCACGAAACCGCAAATCCAGTGGAAGACTACGATTTGACGCATGCGTTTCAGAAGCAATCAGATGACATCATGGATAGTAAGAGTAATGACGTCATTTTAACGAAGGAAGAAATAACTTGTATGATGAAAGATATTTTTATAGCGGGAATTGAAACCTCGACGTCAGTGATCACGTGGGGGCTATATCTCTTGGCTTTTCATTCAGATATACAAGATCAGATTTACGAAGAGATGATGCAAGTTCTAGGCCCCGATTCTCCCCCGACATTTTCCGACCGTCATCGACTACCTTTGCTCTGGGCAAGCATCACAGAAACGTTAAGATATGGGTCTATTGTACCTTTACTTCTACCCCATAGGGCAACATCCGATGCAAAAATTAACGGTTTTCACATTCCTAAAGACACGACTGTAATCGTAAATGCCTTTGCTATTCATGACGCAAGAACTTGGCATGACCCGCATGTCTTTAGGCCAGCCCGATTTTTGAATAGCTGTGGAAATTATTCGACACCGCCGCCTTTCTCGATGTTTCCATTCTCGGCAGGCAGTCGCGTTTGTGTCGGAGAGACTCTCGCGAAGATGGTTGTGTTCGATGTCATTGCCCGGATGTTATATAGTTACCGTATGACATTGGTAAACATGAAGTATCAGAGAGTGGAAGCTGACATGACGAATACAGCTATTATTCTTAAGCCGAAACATTTGCAAATAGCTCTTGAAAAACGTTGTGTCTAAATATGAAGTATCAGAGAGTAGAAGCTGACATGACGAATACAGCTTCTATTCTTAAGCCGAAACATTTGCAAATAGATCTTGAAAAACGTTGTGTCGTAAAAACTGACGCAGTTGATGAAACGACAAAATGTCAATTTTAGTTTTTTACTCTTGGTTTAATGACCAGTAGATTCATACGTTAAAATCTTTCGTACTTAATTTTGTATATTATCTTGATATAATCTTTTTCTGATATATTTAAAACAATAGTATTGTTCTTTAAATGCATAAATTTCTTTCGAATTACAAAAATTATAAGCAGTGTTCAATTTGTCTTCTGTCACCGTGCATCAAGTACATTACCCCTTCTTATCCTTGCATGTAGTAGATTACCCTCCTTATCCATGCATGAAGTACATTACCTGTTTCATCCATGCATGTAGTAGATTACCCTCCTTATCCATGCATGAAGTGCATTACCCCTTCTTATCCATGCATGAATTACATTACCCATTACATCCATGTGTGTAGTAGATTATCCTCCTCGTCCATGCATGAGTTACATTACCCATGTTATTCATGTATGAAGTACCGGATCCCTCGTTATCCATGCATGAACCTTTTTCATCTTTGTTTGATTTTCAGACACTGGCTCTAATAACAGTGGTTTTTACCAGTTGCAAGCTGTTCTGACTCATCAAGGACGATCATCGTCATCTGGTCATTATGTGGCATGGATCAAAGGGAGTAACAGTGAGTAAAGGTTATTAAATTGCATGGATCAAAGGGTGTAATAGGGAGTAAAGTCTTATATCATTAGACTATAGTTTCTTTCTTCAACCCCATCTGACCTTAGGTACTAAACATATTGCATCGGGGTGATAAACATCTCGATTCAAACGTTTAAACACAAAAGATTCGCTAGCTTCGCTTTTGTTTTTATATTGTCAACATATGTCTCGTTGCTGCGAGCTTTTTTCGTAAAGGTCAAGTCCGACGTTACATCAATTTCCTGTGCGTTTTATTTTTCTAAACAAGCCCGTTGCAAAACATTTTAATCCATTCGAGATCTTTATAACAAGTGAAAGAACAACTGCCATTAATATAATAAACATCGGTGAAAGTATTATTATATCTCCTACTGCATCCAACGCGAGGAGTTTCTCCGCATTATAAGAACCGTTACCTTCTTCATGATAAAGAGTCTTGACCAAAGTGATCCCGCATAAAATAACGTGTATAGCTAAAAAGATAGACTCCACGATATTATCGCGTTTGGTCTGAAAGGGGAACACCAGCATGTGACATATTAAAATCGCCACGCAGATCGTTAAAGCGACCAGCATTCGTAATTTAACATCGTAGAGAAAAGTCAGCACGACAATCAAAACCAGTCTACGAAAGATGAGAAATCCTTCCAATGGTATGCGCGAGGTTGTGGAACATTCATCGGCTTTATAAAGTCTGAATGGACCCTGTAAGACATGAAGTATCCTAGAAATACTGTTCGTACTCTTTGCGGTATGACATTCGATGTTTGTTTCTTCATTGTTCGTGTTTATCTCACATATATCCTGCATCGTATGGTCGTATCCCATTCTCGTGGAACCGCGTATCCTTGTGAATAGATACAGCCAATAGCAGCAGAAGGGTAGAGGGAAGAGGCATGCGATACAGAAGTGCTTGACGGTGATCTCTTCGAGTCGTAGAAGGTGCGATCCGAGAACAGGAACAAGACAAAACGGCAGTATGGATGTTATGAAATATGCCAGGAAAATATATTGATATAGCTGATAACATTTAACGTTGCCGTTAATGTGGAGAACTTGCTCATCATCCAATGGAACACAATGCAGCAAGGATAAACAGAGTTGAGTGGATGATGCGTACATAAGGAGGGAGATGAGAGTATATGCTGAAGCACTGCGCGCCTCGAAACTTTGGTCTTTTCCGTCGTCTCTTGCATCGGTCTTGATGGAAAACGGGATGTCTCGTGACGTGTAAGATTTAAAGCGTTTACAGACGAAATTCTTTAAAATTGTTGCCGTGAACAGCACGGCAAGAAATGTGAGAAGGACGTAGCCCAGCGAGTGAAGGATTGTTTGTTTTGTGACGTCATTAAGGTCACGAATTGGACATTCCAGGAATGGAATACTCATGATGATGAAGTTGAAAATTTCTCCGATCTTATTACGTACTTCCGTCATGGCTGTTTGACGGGATTCAAAATTAGTTGGACTCACCAAGAAACGGCTGATTTGGTAATAGTAGAATACGATCTTCAACAATCCGCTGTTGGTTTCTTTGGAGGAAGTGAAAAAAATTCGCTTGACAAATCGAATTATTTCTTTATGGTAGAGAAAAAACACTAAATAAACGATACAGTAGCCGAGGCCAAAGAGAATAGCATCATAATGCCCGCAGTTAGCGTTTGGAATGCATGCTGCAGAAAACAACGATACCGACATGCCATGCGGGCATTCCCCGCAAATTTTACCGTGTCTCTTTCCATGGCAACTACTGTATGTGACGCAGTCATTGCCTTGGCAACAGTAACCGTGTGGGCATCGTATGAAACGGACTGATTGGTTGACTTTATATCCCCAGTAGTTTGGCTTTGCTGTCAGGTGACCATTGTAACATTGACCGCCATTCGCGCAGTCCTGACAATTGATACTGTTGGTGATATTGTTATGAAGTATCGCACGACTTACCGAATAAGTATTCCGCTGACATGGTTTACATTTTACCACGAACTCGTTGCATTCAACGTATGCCTTATTTTTGCCCTTGTGGCAAAACATCTTTTTGGACATCACATATCTGTAGGGACAAAGGATCTTGAAGTTGTCCTGAAGACGGAAACGACGTACATTATCGGGTTTCGTGAAAATGTACGCGATGACGTTTAGTTCATGTTGAGTCGCGGTGATATTAAACGTGTTGTTTTTTTGAAACAGCACGAAGTTCTTTTTTTGTGAGAAGATTAACGTCGAGGACGATGCAGGATTCGAGTTCTCGAAATAACAGTCTCTGAATATAACGGCAACATTGTATAAAACGACGCCAATGACAGCATCGTTGGGCTCATTTCCGCCATAGTTATCGATAAACGTGCATTTTGTGAACAGAAATTTTCCACGAATTAAATCAAGATTGTAAAAACGACTTGAGCGATATTTATGCGTGTTTATGAAAGTGTTGTTGATGAAACGTACAGCTTTGGCTCGAAGGCCACCACGCGAACGATCAATAAAAACGTACAAAACGGATGATGTGTTTTCAAATAACGAATTAGAAACAACAACATCAAAGATATCTACTTTTTTTTGCAGCGGCTCAAGTCGAAGTATTGTTCCTGTGCAACGGTTGTCTTTTAGTGTTAGGTTATTTAGATGAATAAGCGTTTGCTTTCGCTTCTTTACGAACTTATTCCCCTTGATATAAAGCGTATTCCCTGTTTTAGTCCCAGTGCATATTCCAAAATGATCTGTGAATTTGCTGCTTACAATTGTGACATTACTATAGACTGCCATTGGCAATATTTGTAGAAGTGCTCGGCATATTTTCCTTTGCTCGCCATGAAAATGACAGTTTGACACGAAAACGGTCGTATGTTGAACGTAGAGTGTCTTTTTTTCCATAATTGTTCGAAGAGAGACAGGACTGGCGCGAAACGTACTGTCGACAAGATGTGCTGTTAGATTTAGACAACTCATTGACGCCGATGGAACGTACGACCATAAAAGTACTCTTGAGGATCGTGATGGAACAATCGTGAGCTGATTTTGCTGCGATTGCTATATTGGAAACTCGGAAAACGCAGTTCCTGATGTAAAGTGCGAATCTTGATCGTTTATCGCAGCGAATGACCGAGTTTGAAGATATCAGAATCAAATTCGTCGTGTTTATGGTGATCTTTTCATTCAGTGATGGTATTTTGAATAATTGAGCTCCTCTTTTGCATTCAATTGTCGGTTTGCCTTTGTGACCTATGAACGTTAGGGACTTGTTAAGATATGTAACTGTTCTTGAATCTTGGCATTCGTCGTATGGCTTGTGCGCATATTCAATGAGAATCTCCTCACCAGGCCTTGCAATCGTTATCGCGTGTCTGATCGTTCGACAAGGACGATTTTTATAACCACACGATGGAAAATCTGCGCCATTTTGACTGACAAACAACGATTTTGAAAGTACACTTTGACAAGCTAAAGAAGGAAATTCGATTATAAACGCTCTATCTCATCATTTGTTCTTGTAAGAACTCTTTAGGAAATTGCTAAATGAAATTTGACAGTCTATTTTTACTTATTCGAAAAAACTTTGTTTTATGAAAGTTGATATGATTTAAGTTGAAACCAAGTATTTGTTTGCGTAGAGACAAGTCTCATGCAAACACGAGTTACGTATTAAAATGTCATTGAACAAAGAATCCAAAATGTCCGTTTGCTGTTTTTGCATCAACTGTGGCGTCATCGCCATCATTTCAAATCAAAAGTGACTTCAAGACAAAAGAACCTCGGGACAATTCGAGTGAATTTCTACCACAAAATGTTTACTTGTTCGTGATGATTTAAATTCCAACAACTTACCCAGATCGAATACGCTGAAGCAGAACATGACAGAAAACCTCCAACTCAAAGCCATTTTTGGAAAAACTTTTCAAACGAAGAGAATGGTGAAGTAAAAACGTGGAAACGATGGACGTGGAATGAAGTGGGAATCCTTGCATTGGTCTTATGTTAAATAAATCTGTGTGGCAGGAAATGTCCGTTTAATATCATTAATCATGTCTTGAAATGACAGGTGTTAGTTTACACGTGGTAGGTGGGGCGAACGCTTCTACTTCCTCCTTTCGTTTCTCTTTTTTTTTCAATCGTAATTTTGTCCGACTTTCGAGTATGAAAACATGCGCTTAAGTTGTGTAATCAATGTATGTAACTAATTTTGCAGGGAACGCAATGCATTTTTATGTTCTGTTTATATATTTTAGACTCCTGAGAATGACTGTTGTTTTTGGTGTTGACTGACGTTTCGACAACCTTAGATGAAGATGATTCCCGCTAAGGTTGTCGAAACTTTAGTCAACATTCAACAACAAGAGTCCTCAGGACTCTACTAACCTGCACGATCTACATTTACTAACATGTAACGATACTCCCGGGTTCAAACCATTTACTATATATTTTAGACTCTTGGATTAAGTGCGATGACGATAAGATAACGCACATTACTGAAGAAGATGTTTTGAAATTATCCGGGGGAGGTAAGATCATCTTCCGTCTAAGTTTTAATGGTGATTATCATTGTGTTAGGTATTTGACTGCTGAAGTTTTAGTTGAATTTAGAGGAAGGGTTCTTTGAAAATTTATCAATGCTTTATGATCATGTTTTTGCTCCTTTTTGTGTTTGGGTTAGAGCCTCTTAATGGTATTGCAATTTTTATATATATTGCAATCATTATCGTATCACAATGTCTAAACATTCTTTCAAATATAATGTTACCTTTCTTCATGCCGGCTAAAACTTTTCAGCCAGGAAAAGACTTATTTTGCGTGGGTTTCATCGTCAATTGAGACGTTGAAACGAAAGCGAAACAAACTCTCGAGCATGTGCAACCCTCGACCTTCGGTCTCGGGCTTGCACTGATCTTCTCTCGAGTTCTCCCAAAGGTCTCCTCGGTTTGCATAAGCCTGTGCAAACACAGTAAAAATCTTTTATTTCTTAAATAATTTTAATCTAGTCTATTTTAATACATCATTTGCTCATCGTTGGAGCACATTGAACATTCCATTACACGCTTTGACTTATCAATAGTCATTTAGAAAATTCATTAGCGCGAAGGAATAATCAAGAGCACTAGTCGAAAATCAATATTTATTTATGCCGCATAACAATACGGAATATTAAAGTAGCATTAACGTGCATTCCATAAAATCAAATAAACATGTATATACTTTGCACGAAAGACGTCTTTCCCAACAGAAATAGTCTATCACAGATAGTCTTTTGCAATTGCAACACCCCACTTCTATGTTATAGAAAATAGCTTTGATTTTATTTGAATGTCTGGTTTATTTTAATGATCCTTGGTTAAGGCTGTTTCTCCTTTAGGTGACTGGCATTGTGCATATGTGTTGCTATACGGGCGAGAAGACTAGAAATCATTAAAGAATCTTCGTGATCACGTGATCTTAAGAAGAAGTAGATTTTGTACCTTTAAAGAATGCGGTATTGTGCCGATATGTCTATGGGTTGATATCATCTTAAAATCTCCTGTTGAGTAATTTGTTTCAAATCAACACTGCAGTATTTTCTTCAGTGTCATCGAGACAGTTAAGTTTATACGCTAGCCAATTGACAATTGTCAAAAAAAGATTTGTATTTTAAAGATTTGATTATTTGTACATGGAGAAATTGCGCGTTTTCGATTTTTTACAAATTCATTGGTATCGTAGGTATGTTCTGCTGCCATCAAACGACGCGACCCAAAATCACTACCAGCAGAACATACCTACGATACCAACCACACATTTGACTGGACAAAAACACAACTTCTTGGACGCGCACAGACAAAACACGCACGAGAATTCAAAGAGGCATGGTACAGCAAAGACAACAACACAATAAACAGACATATTGACATCCCCATCATCTATTCACAACTAAAGACAAAACCAAAACAACAAACTAATAACACAACCACTAAAATAAAACACTCGAATTTCATTAACGCAATCCATACACCCGAAACCATGACAACGCATCTTATACCATCCAATAATATCAACTCAACTACTAACCAACCAATCAGACGCTCCAAACGCCTACAAAATCTTTGTAAATAATATATTCTTACATTCTGACGAAGGCTCGAAGCACCGAGTTGAAAGCTTAATAAAAAATTTACTATCTATATATATCAGTATATATCTCTATAAATATAATTTACTATCCATATATATATCAGTATATATCTCTATAAATATAATTTACTATCCATACATACATCAGTATATATCTCCATAAATATAATTTACTATCCATATATACATCAGTATATATCTCCATAAATATAATTTACTATACATATATATCAGTATACATCTCTATAAACATCATTTACTTTACCAGGTTTTCTAACATTTTCACGCACGTCAATAAGTGTATTTCCAGCCGGATTATACAAAGCAACCACGTACAAATCGTGAATAAGTAAACCATTTCTCTCTGCGCAACCAATTCCTAGCTGTTTGCTCTTCTTCCAAATGACTTGTGTAAAGGTGATGTGTCCTTGTTAATTTGGGGCGATGAAAAGCTGAAATAACGTCCTTGATTGTACCATCGCTTGATGGCCTCTTGCACACCATAGTTGCAACGGTAGGGTACGTTGGACAGTTTAATGGTGTTTTCGCCGTATGTTCCATAATTTGCAACATTTGACCTTTTCTTCAGTTTATTACTAGAGGTATTTAGTTCCAGGATTTCATCTCGTATTAGGGTATTTTTGTCGGCTAGTTGGCGGGACATGTTTTTAGCAACTGCAGCAAGTGCATTGGACCACGTCAAAGGTGGCGAATGATGGAGTAAACGTAGTGCGTTGTGAAGCTGTAGAGCCTTGTTCTCCCATTCTGTATTGTCTGTATTTGTAAAGATATATTATAAATTGTTATTCTATGGCTGTATGCTTTACTATAAACCTTTAATTACCTTAAGACATCGTTTTATTCTTCAATATAAACCTTTAATTACCTTAAGACACCGTTTTATCGTTCACTATAAACTTCTAGTTACCTTATGACACATTTTTATCGTTCACTATAAACTTCTAATCACCTTAAGACGCATTTTTATCGTTCACTATAAACCTTTAATTACCTTGAGACACCGTTTTATCGTTCACTATAAACTTCTAATCACCTTAAGACGCATTTTTAACGTTCAATATAAACTTCTAATCACCTTGAGACACATTTTTATCGTTCACTATAAACTTCTAATCACCTTGAGACACATTTTTATCGTTCACTATAAACCTTTAATTACCTTAAGACGCATTTTTATCGTTCACTATAAACTTCTAATCACCTTGAGACACATTTTTATCGTTCACTATAAACCTTTAATTACCTTAACACACATTTTTATCGTTCACTATAAACCTTTAATTACCTTAAGACACATTTTTATCGTTCACTATAAACTTCTAATTACCTTAAGACACCGTTTTATCGTTCACAATAAACTTCTAATTACCTTAAGACACATTTTTACCGTTCACTGTAAACTTCTAATTAACTTAAGACATCGTTTTATCGTTCACTATAAACTTCTAATTACCTTAAGACACATTTTTATCGTTCACTATAAACTTCTAATTACCTTAAGACATCGTTTTATCGTTCACTATACACTTCTAATTATCTTAAGACACATTTTTATCGTTCACTATAAACTTCTAATTACCTTAAGACATTTTTATTGTTCACTATAAACCTTTAATTACCTTGAGACACGGATGTATCACTGTTCGTAAAATACCCTTCAACTTTGTGGGTTTCCGTTTTTTTAAGTATGTCCACAATGGATTCGTTGAGCCAACCTAAAAAAATTCTTCTCTTACTCAAACGATCCTCGTCATTTTTATTGAAGTCATTATGTGTGTGTGGAGGGACAGGAAAGTTGTCATCAAATCTTTTGAATATTTTCAGTCAGCGGTCTTTTTCGTGTCCTCATGATAAATAGTCTGATTAAAGTTATGTTGTCCTAAGAATATTGGTTGGTTTCGCTGCGTTCGTGCACACTTCGATTTAAAAGAAAATATCCAACTGGATTGTTCAGCTGTGAATTATTATATGTTACTTAGCCTCATTTTCTTTTTCTTTTTAATGAGGGAAAATGGTGTGACGTATATCAATGTGAATATATCTTTTGTATCTTTAATCATTGACGTTTTTTTCGGTGGCTATATCATTTTCAAACCTCACCATTGTTCACAGCTTCTTGCAATATTCCCGGTACGGAAGAAGTTCTTTTTACCGATTGCATTTCCTCTTGAATTGTCTTCTTGGACGCTTTTCTGTGTCTTTCTGGTGTAAAATGATAGTAGCTTCCTCGATTTATGTACTTGAAATTGTATCGAGGGAATTTATACATTTTTGAAACATGTAATATGCATAAAGTTGTACATTACCTTTTTGGGTTTTGGTTTTTACCAATAGATCTATCTGGGAAATTGAAGCACATAATACGAGCAATTTAAGAAGTAGATACATGATGTGTTCATGAGTCGGAGCTGTCTCTCTGTTTCTATTCTTCAATCGACATAAAAATATTTAATTTACCCATTTTGTGGCTTTCCGTGTGTGCTGAATACTCTTACGATAAACTCTTCATGTTATGTACGATGCAACTATGTATTATATATTTTCTGCTTTGTAAAAGTTATGTATATATACATCACATCATTTTCATAATTGATTTGGAAATTGTTTTTATTTTGAAATATGAAGCAGGTACCAGTCTAGAACATCGTAGGGAAAATACAACGGTTTTTTCTATTCGAATTTTGTGACGTGTACAAGTGATAGCCGAGTAACGTTGAGTTAAAGATGTAGTTTTTACTTTGAATATAAAATATCTACGCGCGTATTCGTATCTGATAGCAAATATACATGCAAATATGTTTGCTAGCATTGACAAGCATGTTTGCTAGCATTAGTTAATAATTGGTTTTTTTACGATTAGTTTGCGTATTGTTTAGATTATAATTTGTTGTAGTTTCTTTGATATTTGTAATTTCCGTGTGTTTCCACTTGCAAGTTTTCCACGGATGTTGTATAATTAGTAATTTTAACGCGAAGAGAAGTCTTTAGATGAAATATATTTTTATTTTAAGAAATCCGTTGATGCAACTGGACAAGGAATCCTTTATGTCGTTGAATATGTGCGAGTGTCGATCGCGTAAAGTTTTCCAAAAAAAATTCACAAGTATTCCTCAATTGTTTACTAAATAAATTCTTATACAGAATTAACAAGTTTGCTCTGTTGGAAAGTTTATAACCAAACAGATCAATGTGTTCGTTGTGTTTCACTTTTTCTTAGATTCATATGATTGAAAATTTCATAAGAAGCATAAAACTATTTGGATGGATCGAAATGTGCATGAATCATGAGAAGAGTGGTCTTCAAAAAATGTTTCCACTTTTTCACACACATATATATGAAACGACTTTATTGTGAACAAGTTCTGTTTCAATGTAGCCATTGATTAAAAAATATTCCCCTTGCTATTTTTGCACTATATTTTCCGTTGCAATGAAGAATTTATGTAGTTTTAATTTAACTTCGATTCAAGAATGTGTAATGTAGATTTTTTAGTAATTGACGTGAATGAATACTAGCTGTCGTGAAATGTACATAGCAACACTACAATATTCGTCCAATGTACAACAAATGAGGATAACATTATGTTTTTTAATAATTATCTGTATCATGATTAATAGTTTACTTTTTCATTTTTTACGACAACGCGCTTGTTTGTTTATCCATTTTAATGCGTGCATGTATGTTGAGAATTTCTTGAACTATGTAGTTCATTCAGCGTGCGTATGTATGTGTGCCATTTATGTTAGATAAAATCAGTCATTTAGCCAGCAGCTGAAATTGACAATTAACATTCTATAATGTGCGCTGTGAATTGGCTGTGCATTATAAATAGCTGCTATATTTGCCATTTGCTTGACATGTGGTGAAACGCGCCGCTCATTTCAATCACACAGCGGTAAGTTTTGTGGCCGACTTTCGTTCATTCCTATTAATCGTGGAAGAAGTAACTTGTTTTGATTGAGGTGGAGAGACGGAATACTTGATTTGTAGCAAGTTTTGATTTATTTAGCAACACTAGGATTCTTGTTTTTTTTTAAGGTGGAGAAATTCTCTCATCGAATTTCAACATTCCTAAGTGATCGCGGATTTCAACTAACGGACGCGAAATATCAACTTGTGAAAACGCTTTCGTAAGATGCTTGTTTGATATAAGCCAAGGTGAAAGAATGCTTTCTTTAAGCAATCGTGTGTGTATCGTTACAATAAAATAGGGCATGCTACAAATGTACGAAAGTTAATGATTTTGTTAGTTTTTTCTCTGTGTGTTTGTGAAAACCAATTGATGTTTGTATGCCTACATATACTACGTATTGCCATCGTTACTCATTTCATTTTTTTGTAGAGCTCAAGAAAGTCTTATGACGATGATGAATCGACGAATGGGGTCAATCGATGTTATACTACTTATGGCAGTTGTCGTACAACAAGGGTCTTCGACAAAATATACTTTACAAATGAACTCAACAGATATATACGAGTGGCCAAGACTTGTTTATCCTGTTGACTTTAATCTTTGCAAGGGGAAGCTGGATTTCGATTTTAAAACTTTCAACAAAAACGCGATTGTTTTGTACCAAGATGATCATGGACAATCTGATTTTATATCCATGAGTTTGGTGAATGGTCGCCTCGTGTTCATAATGGGTTTTGGAAGAGGGCCTTTGCAAAATTTCACGACTACCGAAAATGATTATGGAGACTTCAGATGGCATACTGTGAGCATCGAGCTCAGTTCATTCCACAGTAATGACGTAATCCCGCGTGTTTTGATCACGGTCGATGGGAAAATTGTGTACAACAAACTGAGAGAGAAAAGTTGCCAGTTGGAATCAAAATTACTGATAGGTGGTTTGACTCGTGAGCGTTTACAGTATTCCAATTCTTTAACCTATCAAAATTACAAGTCTTTTTATAGTCTTGCCACAGGTGGTTCAAGGTACGTACGATTTACATACTAGATTCACTATTTCTATTTGCATTTTGTGTTTGTATTTTAAAATCTTTGTAGAGGATCTGCGTAATTTACTGCGATCAATAAGTGTCCTCTATATTTCGAGTGCATGTGTTTGTTTACGTTAAGTTTTATGAATGGTGTATGTTGGGTACGTTTGTGGATTGATGTGAACATTGTGTTTGTACAAGGTCAGCTTAACTTAACTCGATGTTTTTGTAACTTGATGCTTCGTTGAATATCGTAAGTGTGTTGTGGATTTCATTCATAATTCATGCGTTATGACACATTAATTTTTTAAACTTGTTAAATAGACTTGAGTTTTTCCTATTTTATAAAATCGAGTCGATGAGTCTTGTATGTTTCTGCTTTTCAGCTCTGTGCGTAAATATCCTTATGAGCTGTAAACGTTTTCTATCTTTTATTTAACATTCATATATTTTTACTCGATCTTTTTGAAATTATTTTGTCATTTAATAATGCATATACACGAGTTGCAGCTGCAAAACGACAGCCGTGACGTTTTGCCTTCAGCAGGTGCAGTTTAGTGGTTTTTTTTCCACACTATATGTAAAAATTAAGGCCAAAAAGATAAGACCACTTATCGGGTTTGTTTATGATCTTTTGCGGTGGTGAAATTTTAACAACCAAACTTTTGTTTTCATCCTAGATTTTTTTTCTATTTTCGTTGTTTTTTTATAAGATATTGTATAGGAATGTAAGCGATTTGTTTAGATGTTATTTGTGATACATTGACAACGCTATATGTGAGAAAATTAAGCCAAATTGCTCGCCTTTTTTTGATCTCAATACTCGAGTCTTAGCATTGGCGATTACGAATGTTTGTTGAAGATTTTCTGACAATAGTGTAAGTGATATATCATAGTGTTCTATGAACCCGTTCATTCATGACCAGATAAAATATAAAATATTTCTAAGAGTTGCGTGAAGTCCTGTGATGATAAGGTATTTAAAGGAAAATGCACATTTACTGCGCATGCGTTTTATAAAATTTTCTGGCAAAAGCTTGAAGTATACCGTGGCGATGTTTGCAACACGATAATGCCTTTTTTCGCTCACGATATTCTACAACAATAAGTGATTAGTTAAATTGTTTGATGTCTCTTTCGTTGCGGGATGCATTTGAATAAACAAAACCATTTTCACCTCAAACTCATTACAATTTAAAAGCCCATTGCTGCGTCAATGTTCGCCGAAATTGACGCTTCGAAAGGGCGACATTTCTGAAGTTCTCCCTTTGAAGTGACTGTTGCTTGTCGATATTTAGACAGTAAGGCAAAAAAGTTTTCACAGACCAGGTTTTAAGTTTGTTGTTTTCACTAATAAAACAGCATCGTATGGAGAATCGTCCAATAACATTACAAGGAGAAAGCAATTAATATTCACTGGTTGTCTTATCTCCCACTATCAGCGATAAATGCGTATCGCTTAATGCTTGGATCATGCGCAGTAGATCGGTCGGTGTGTGATCACTGAGTGACAAACACCGATGACGTTTGGTTTCGTGACTACGAAAAATGCTCGATGCTCGTATTTTTGGTGAAGTAAAAATGAAGAAATAACGAGCAAGTGCTCTGGTTTACGACGGTTGATTACCGAAACAAGTTGTAGTGTGTGCTTGTGCGTTTTTTTTGTCTTGCTAACTGCATTTCATGTGCAGCAAAGATATGATTTTAAGCGTAGTTGTCTCACTTCTTCTTGGAATCGTTGTATCTTCCAATTATGGTGCTGTACACGGAAATGGACTGAAAGTTTGGACGTTTCTCAAGATGACGACAGATCTTCCGGGGCCTTTCATGATATTTGAAACGAATCTAGCTGGGGGAGTGTTTGAACTGCAGTTCAAAACATTTGTCAAAAATGCCTTTATTCTTTATCAAGACGACGGTGGAATTTCTGATCATATATATGTGTTCTTTCAAAATGGAAAGCTGCGATTTTTCTTCTATTTGAGTGCAAACAATGGTCGTATTTCGGTCGAAGGGGATTTTACGACATTGAACTATTATAATGATTTTCAGTGGCACACAATAAAGATCGTAAGGGACGCGAATGCGACGTCTTTTATTGTCGATAACGGCAAGGAGAGTAAAATTTTCAACACGTGCGGTTATCAATCATTGTACGTGTCACATCTGTGGTTAGGAGGATTTAAAAAAGATATGCTGATTAATGATTTATCTAATGCTAATCCTTTTTACCTATATGTCCTTCCGATAAATAAGTAAGTCAATTGATGAAGGTTCTTTGCTATTTACCATCCTTCACATGTGGTACACTTCATGCAAAAACACAGCACGAGCAAAAGCATTTTCACGTATTTAAGTATTGAAAATTTCTGCAGTATGTGCACGAAACATGTAGACGTTGTTTGTTTGTTATATAGGTTGTTCATTCCGCGTTTTTAGAGTCTTGCATTCTGTTGCTAAACTCGTTTTAAACAAAAATCGTCGAGTCTTTGTTGTAGGTCTTCATTGTTGATCGTAACTGTCGTGTTATTGGTAGTTATGCGAACGTTGTTGTCACTTGTTGGCTCTGAGTTTTTTATGTCTGACAGAAATTTACTCTTTATCACGTTAGCTAAGTTACTTAGCTATACATTAAAAATATAAGTTGAAAAAACGACTCATTGAACAACGCCATCTCCGAAGATGAAAATCCTGTTTATATCTCCCTTAGTTGTGGGTCATCGGAATTGCGTTAAATAGTTATAATATTTTATAGAAAGTTGCTTTTAGTTGCAGTTACGAAAAAATATCAACAATACTTTTAGTTATATGTTTTAAAAATGCTTGATTTTTCACAAAAAAGCGTCGGTCTTAAAATGTCTAAATTTTTACTGACATTTTAACTCGTTTTTCTCTCTTTTTCTTTCCTAGACGAGGATATCTTAATGCGTGCATAGGTGAAATTCGTTATGGTAAGACACAAGACAGCATGATAGACATTACAAATAGACCCGCAGAGAAATATCTCGTCGAAAAAGGATGCAATCTAAATTACTGTCATAAACCCGATCCCATTTGTAAGAATAACGGCAGATGCACGCCGGGAACGAATAACGATGTCAATTGTGATTGTCTTTGGACCGGTTTCACAGGCGACTATTGCACAGAACGTAAGATAGATTTGATTACTAATATCCTTAATAAAATTTCTGCCCGAAAAAGATTTTGCTTCTCACGGTGGCGCAGCCAGTCCGCAAGTTTGGTCGCTTTTTTTTAACATGAGACCATTAACGTGAGACCGTTTAGAAATCTGTTGTTTTTACAGTAAGTGAAATATTTACATCGAACGAACAAACTTGCTTGCTGGCACTGTATAAGTAACATGCAATAGGACCACTTTCCTGTACACCTTTTACTGTATATATAAAATATGCTGGCTGCAGTTAGCCAACTCAGTGCTGTTATTGGTCAGATAATGCAATCTGCTAGCTGTCACGTGGTAATCACGTGCGCAATAAGATATGTGCGTCAGAATGTAGTTGCCCTACCTACTGTATGTTTCTTATGGTGTGGTGCTGGCTTTCTTTCTACAGATATTTAACGTAATATTTAAGGCGCTCAAGTAGACCATTCGCCCTATATTAGGGAATCTGGAATGCAGAAAAATTCAAACGTCGAAATGCAAAAGCAAAACGAATGGAATCCAGAACCAACAAGCTTGAATCCTGAATCTGATACCGCAATTGATTCGTGATGTATATTTTGCGAGCGTTAAATTACACAGTGTGAATGTGATTGGTTGTTGAATATGTCTAACGACATCATCTACCAATGATTTTCCTTTTTCGGTTACTTTTCACAAAAACCCCCATTGGAAATACACGTCGCTGATTTGAAGCGAAGTGTGTTTAAGTAGTTCGCGCACCGGAATACATGGTTATCTTATTAACATCAGGAGGGTGAATGTTTCACTACAATGCAAATTGCGATCTATGCACATGCGCAGCAGCTACCCACAACTACCACAATCTTCAGGTTGTTAACTTTCATTTAAGAAATAAAAGATGTTTACTGTGTTTACACAGGCTTATGCAAACCGAGGAGACTTTTGGGAGAACTCGAGAGCAGATCAGTGCAAGCCAGAGACCGAAGGTCGAAGGTTGCACATGCTCAAGAGTTCTCACAAACGTCTCCGAGTTTATTTTATAATACTCGTTGTTTTACAGCTGTTCTTGAGCTTACGTTAAATGGTTCCTACAGAGTAAAGCATATGTTTACAAACAAAGCCCTTAAAACAGAGTCGTACGGCTTTCGCATAAAGACATTACAAGATAACGCTTTGATATTCCACGCCATTGGCCCTGATGCGAGCAAGGATTACACACTTATAGAACTACAGAAATCTCGCATAAGGTTGACGGCTAATTTTGGAGGTGAGCTTGGTCGCTTTTTTTCATTAACAAGAATACATGTTGTCGCGAAGAATATTGAATGTGATTATCAATATTTGCTCAAGTGAATAAATTATCACATTGCTAATAACCACGTGACGTCTTTCTTATTCATTTTGAATGGAAATGCGTTTCCTTTTTGTTCAATCCTTAGTTACATGTAAAGTTTGGACTCGTGAGCACAAAACAATATCATAGCTAACACACATATCCCTACTTTACCCATAGTATCTCCGTGTATCACTGAATACCCTACTCTTTGATTTTCTTAAGCTGAAACTTACGTGTTGGAATCGAGCAACATTGTGAGCGATGGTAATTGGCACACGGTGAAATATAGAAAGACCGTAAAAACGATTACTTTGATCGTTGATTTGAGGGAGAAGCGCAAGCGGTTGATGAACAAACTTTATGTGAAGATGGACTACAATGGTCTCTCATTTCTGGGAAAGAAGAAAGCTTTAAAGTACGAGATTAAAATACAAGATTTTGTGTGGATGAATGAAGATAGGTCTATAAATTTCGTCAAAGAATTATACGAAACATTCGCCCATGGACAAGGACCACAAAGAATATTTGTTGTTGAACCACGGAATATACTTCCTAAGTTCAATAAGGAACTACCCAATCTCACTCCTAAACCATTTCTACCTATAACTAAATCTAATAACGAGTATCCATGTACGGAGAATGAATGTTCGACTCCATCGACAGGTAAATATTTTCATTGTCCACATAACACTTTAAGGAATGAAAGATGTTTACTGCATGTTTGCACAGGCTTGTGCAAACCGAGTAGACCTTCGCGAGAACTCGAGAGGAAATCTGTACAAGCCCCAGACCCAAAGTCCAGAGTTTGTAATGGCTTGAGTGTTCTTGCGATTGTGTCTTCAAAAAAGACGATAAGAAATCAACGTATTGTCAAAATTTCAGTGCCTGATATTTATTCTAACCCACCCCCCTCCCCCCACTCGCTGCATTATTGGGCAGATTTAGCTGTTAGATAGAAGTTATGTCAAATTCTTAGGAGTAGCAAAACTTCAGTGCTTGAAACAAGGATATGTAATATATGTACGTAGTTGACGGTATTTTACACTCCTGTGGCGTACGATGTTGACAGTATTTTATACTCCTGTGGCGTACGTAGTTGACAGTATTTTATTCTCCTGTGGCGTACGTAGTTGACAGTGTTTATACTCCTGTGGCGTACGTAGTTGACAGTATTTTATTCTCCTGTGGCGTACGTAGTTGCAGTATTTTATTCTCCTGTGGCGTACGTAGTTGACAGTGTTTTATACTCCTGTGGCGTACGTAGTTGACAGTATTTTATACTCCTGTGGCGTACGTAGTTGACAGTATTTTATTCCTGTGGCGTACGTAGTTGATAGTATTTTATTCTCCTGTGGCGTACGTAGTTGATAGTATTTTATACTCCTGTGGCGTACGTAGTTGACGTATTTTATTCTCCTGTGGCGTACGTAGTTGACAGTATTTTATTCTCCTGTGGCGTACGTAGTTGATAGTATTTTATACTCCTGTGGCGTACGTAGTTGATAGTATTTTATACTCCTGTGGCGTACGTAGTTGATAGTATTTTATACTCCTGTGGCGTACGTAGTTGATAGTATTTTATACTCCTGTGGCGTACGTAGTTGACAGTATTTTATACTCCTGTGGCGTACGTAGTTGACAGTGTTTTTACTCCTGTGGCGTACGTAGTTGACAGTATTTTATACTCCTGTGGCGTACGTAGTTGACAGTATTTTATTCTCCTGTGGCGTACGTAGTTGACAGTGTTTTATTCGTACGTGTGGCGTACGTAGTTGATAGTATTTTATACTCCTGTGGCGTACGTAGTTGACAGTATTTTATACTCCTGTGGCGTACGTAGTTGACAGTTTTTATACTCCTGTGGCGTACGTAGTTGATAGTATTTTATACTCCTGTGGCGTACGTAGTTGACAGTGTTTTATACTCCTGTGGCGTACGTAGTTGATAGTATTTTATACTCCTGTGGCGTACGTAGTTGACAGTGTTTTATACTCCTGTGGCGTACGTAGTTGATAGTATTTTATACTCCTGTGGCGTACGTAGTTGACAGTGTTTTATACTCCTGTGGCGTACGTAGTTGACAGTATTTTATACTCCTGTGGCGTACGTAGTTGACAGTATTTTATACTCCTGTGGCGTACGTAGTTGATAGTATTTTATCCTGTGGCGTACGTAGTTGACAGTATTTTATACTCCTGTGGCGTACGTAGTTGATAGTATTTTATACTCCTGTGGCGTACGTAGTTGACAGTATTTTATACTCCTGTGGCGTACGTAGTTGATAGTATTTTATCCTGTGGCATGTTGATAGTGGCGTACGTAGTTGATAGCATACCCTGTACGTAGTTTTATACTCCTGTGGTGTACGTAGTTGATGTTTTTACTCCTGTGTGGCGTACGTAGTTGAAGTATTTTATACTCCTGTGGCGTACGTAGTTGACGAGTATTTTATTCTCCTGTGGCGTACGTAGTTGACAGTGTTTTATTCTCCTGTGGCGTACGTAGTTGATAGTATTTTTATACTCCTGTGGCGTACGTAGTTGATAGTATTTTATACTCTGTGGCGTACGTAGTTGACAGTATTATACTCCTGTGGCGTACGTAGTTGACAGTTATATATACTCCTGTGGCGTACGTAGTTGACAGTGTTTTATACTCCTGTGGCGTACGTAGTTGATAGTATTTTATACTCCTGTGGCGTACGTAGTTGACAGTGTTTTATACTCCTGTGGCGTACGTAGTTGATAGTATTTTATACTCCTGTGGCGTACGTAGTTGATAGTATTTTATACTCCTGTGGCGTACGTAGTTGATAGTATTTTATACTCCTGTGGCGTACGTAGTTGACGGTGTTTTATACTCCTGTGGCGTACGTAGTTGACAGTATTTTATACTCCTGTGGCGTACGTAGTTGACAGTATTTTATACTCCTGTGGCGTACGTAGTTGATAGTATTTTATACTCCTGTGGCGTACGTAGTTGACAGTATTTTATACTCCTGTGGCGTACGTAGTTGATAGTATTTTATACTCCTGTGGCGTACGTAGTTGACAGTATTTTATTCTCCTGTGGCGTACGTAGTTGACAGTATTTTATACTCCTGTGGCGTACGTAGTTGACAGTATTTTATACTCCTGTGGCGTACGTAGTTGACAGTATTTTATTCTCCTGTGGCGTACGTAGTTGACAGTATTTTATTCTCCTGTGGCGTACGTAGTTGACAGTGTTTTATACTCCTGTGGCGTACGTAGTTGACAGTATTTTATACTCCTGTGGCGTACGTAGTTGACAGTATTTTATACTCCTGTGGCGTACGTAGTTGACAGTATTTTATACTCCTGTGGAACAGTATAGGGAATACACAGTAGATCCTCTTAATGTGCAACTTGCTGCTGTATATTTAATTCGATGTTTGCCTGCGGTTAGGCAGCTCAACCCTTCTATTGGTCGAGAAAGTAATTGACTGGCTAACACTTTGTTAATCACATGCGTAATAAGATATGCTTCGCACGAAAACTTCAACGGAGTGGTTGTACTGTATATTAATTATACTGTGGTATAGGTATGGCAGACCTAGATTGTTGACTTATGGTTGATTTCCTGTGGACTTAGTGATGACTAGTTGGACATTACTTTCAAACATTAGCATGATTAGTTTTAAAGTAAATGGTTTGAACCCTGGAGTATCGTTACATGTTTGTAAATGTAGATCCTCCAGGTTGGTGTAGTCCTGAGAAGGACTGTTTTTGTTGTTGTTGACTGACGTTTTGACAACCTTAGCGGTAGTCATCTTCAGAGTCAAATGACTCTCATCAACAACAAAAACAGTCCTTCTCAGGACTATACCAACCTGGACGATCTACATCTACAAACATGTAATGAATAATTTTAGTTGTTATTCCACGATTCCGAGAAAAATTTTATTAGTTCTGGTAAATTGAAATCTTTTGTGACTTTGTCTTAATCATCTTGACCGAAGTTTTCCCTTTTGACACAAATAAATTTTGAGCATCGAAGTTAAAAAATAAAATATTTCTTGTTGGAGTTGTTCTAGTAAGGTGACTCGTTCTCTTTGTTCAGCTTCAGAGATAGAAATGACGACGCCATTGTCCGCCGAGTTTGGATTAAATGATTCTGGAAAAGATGATAAAAGTTCTTCGACGACATGGATTGTTGTTGCTACTGTGGTATGTGTCATCCTTGTTGTTGCCGTCATTGCATTTTTTGTTTACAAATGGAACCTCAAACGTCAGTCTGGAAACTTTGAGGTGCATAAAAAGCCTGTTGCGCCCAGAAATACGATGATCCATTACCAGGAAAGCGCACATCGAAAGAAACAGCAACAAATGCGACTATAATTAATTGAGGTCAGTTTATGCCGGCACGCGTTAAGTGAGCACCTAATTTACCCGCATTGGTAAATTTCGTCAATTTCTCCGAGTTACAAAGCATGCATGTATTTTGCAGATTGTACCCTGGAGAATTTTCATGTTTCATAACTTTTTTCGCTATTGAAACTTTTCCTTTGAATTTTGACATGGAGACTAAACGTTGTTTTTGTCAATGACGCTTATTAGGAACGCTGTGTTGAATTAGCTGCAAAAGTAAAGTTTAGTACAGTTTTCGTAGCTGTCATGTTTTGTTGCATGTGAAGTCCGCGGTACAGCGCGCTCAGAAATGCGATCAAGATGATTAATTAAAGAAGTTTGCCATTGCATAAAATAGCATTTTAAAGAATGAAAGTAAAGTCCCGAACTAGGAAATTTTTCCCAAAAATTTTACGGCATTTAAAAGGAATGATTAGTATCCTTTCCAATGTAGATCAATAAAAGTAAAATCAATATATATATATATGTATTTTAAATAAAGTTCAATCCATGCAGCTCTTGGTATGGAAATCCGGGCATGAAAACGTTTAGTATATCATAAGTAAATTATAATAATTATTATATTTATACTTGATGAGCTATTTATATAATTACGATAAATAAACATTTATTATAATGATCATCTTAAAATTTAATGTTATTGTAAGCATTTATCAGACAACCTTTCAGTACTTTTCGTATTTCGTCGACATATTCAATATGCACTCGCGCTTTCAGTCTCGTCGCAGCCAGCAGTAACAAAACCAGTTGGTTTTTTTACACCTACAATAAAAATGTTTTCAGTCTGTTCCATGGAAAAACAACGGATGGAATTATTTCTTTAAAGAAATGTATGATGATCACATTAAGAATTTCGCATTGTGACATTTCCTTCTCGAGAACCAAAGGTCTGGATACGAAGTTAACACGATTAATGTCAATAATTTATGAATACTGCTGCGTATGCAACTTCAAGCTATTTATTCAGGGGGGGCAGAACCATAAGAATCATGGGTTGCTTCCCCGAAAAATCGTTTCATTTAATACAGGGTCTCCAAACTACGGCCCGCGGGCCAGATGCGGCCCGTTGGGCTTCTCAATCCGGCCCGCAGAGGCACTTCAGAAATATAATAATATTATTAAACAAAATAAACTTTATGCAGAAAGTTCAAGTTATGTCGCAAGCCAACTAGCAAGAGTGGCTTACGTCAATTTTTCTCCCAACTTCCGTTTTAAGCACATTGCGAAATTTAAAAAGCTGAAGGATAACGTGGAAATTTTTTATATTCTTCGGCCCTCAACATGCTGGATGAAAGTTCATGTGGCCCTCTGGCTGTAAAGTTTGGAGACCACTGATTTAATAGCATATACTGTTTGATTAATAAAAAGAAGAAAACGAAAATTTTGGTAACTTGTTGCACTGTGGAAAGCCCCTTCGACTGATCTGTGAATTGATTTGTTTTGCCCCAGGAAAAAGTAGTTTGTTTTCGTCACGCCTTTTTCATTATTATTCATGCGCATATTCGATGAAGACGAACCTTTAAAGTTACAGATACGCCGTGAAACGATTTGAGGTCTTTCTTTATTCAACATTCAACGGGTGAATTTTCGCCGAGTCTCTTTTTATTGCTCTTGTTGCGTGTTGAGGAGCACATTCGTGCTAACTTTTCTCGTTTTGTGAATAAATATCTCAAAGATTTTCTGTATTGACGAAGCCGCCATGCGTAGACCAGCGGATTCAATGCAAAATTTAATAGCTCAATCGGAAAGAAATTTTGATAAATTTCAGCAATCCTTCCGGAACGTCGCGTTTCATGAACGTGGTGTATGTAATGTAGACTAGCGTTGCTACTAGATAGGGTAAAACAGTAAAAACTAGAATACCCACAAGAAGTAGCACAACATTTGTTAGTTTATCTTGTTGAGAACTTATTGATTTTTCTGTGCGTTTCTTTCTTCTTCTGTCGAAAAGTTTGTCCGCTTTCTTTCGTAGGAAGCTTCCTCCATCACAACCCCAAACAATTTTTTGCTTTTTCTTTGAATCGCTCTCAGACGTGTTATCATTTTCCACTTTCTTGTTCTGGCTATCTGGGTATTTTTCATCTTTCAAAAGTGTTTCCGTTACTTCGCTTTGACTGGAGCTCACGTTATCCGTTATTTGTAACGATGCCGGAGCTGTTTCTTTGCTAAACAATGCTGTTGTGTTTGTCTTCGTGCTGCTCGTGTCGCTTTTGGAAGTGGATGCTCTTTGTAGGCCGGATGCATATCGTGATGAGGACGTTCTTCGAATGGTCGATCCTTTATGTAATTGTCCGCTACCTTCAACTAGCCGCTGCGAGTTGTGGATGCCGAAAATTATGAACGTGTATAGGATTATAATGATGAAAACGCTCAGGAAAACTCACAGAGAATGGCAAATTGCACGTAGACTATGAAAGGAGGCAGCCTAACCAATCCCCAAGAATTGTTGATATGCACCAAATACACGCAATCACCATAAGCACACGCTTCTTCGTGATCCACACGCGACAGTAGATGGGATACCTCACGATGAGAAAGCGCTCGAACGACATTGCTAACAACGTGAGGAACGAGGCTTGAATCGTTATCCAAAATAGACAGAGGAGATACAGTTTGTGATTTTCGTTCAACGCCAGGATTTCGTCCAATCCCATTGCGCAGGCGTTCATGCCGGTCAGCAAATCAGCAACAGCCAAACTTATTATGAAATAAGTTGTCGACGAATTGAAGTAATTCAACGGATCTTTTAGTAGAGTAAGTAGAACACCATTTGTCAACATTGACAGCAAACCGACCGTAAAACAGATGCATCGATGTAGTTCATTGCGTTTTGTCGTTGTGTTGTTTATACTGTTTAAAATGAATTGACTTAAAATGACTTTATTTTGCAGTAGGTTGGCGGCGTTTCTTCGTGAACTAGAGGAATACTATGCTTAATGCTTCATTTTCTGAGCTGTTCTTGCCTTCTGAAAGAAATACCAATGTATAAATTAAGTTACGTATTTTTCACGTCTGTTGCTACAATGCAAATTTTTCATCGAAATTTTTATTCATATCTGTAGAAACTTAATTCCATTCATTTTTTCCATAAAAGTATTGTGTATTGTGAAAATATACTGGTTGTCTTCGCTACTGCTAACAAATACATCTGCTTGTATGTTGCTTTTATTTATCAATGTTAACTGATCTTAATTATATTCATGAGCTGTGGACGTAATTTGTCACATTCGGTTCAATGGCCGCTTGGTTTTGAGAGAAAAAATCTGTTAACGTCATTCAAATTTCAACCTTTCCACGCCAGACGAAAGGTGCTTCCTTTGGTCAGTTTTAAAAGGTTTATAGAAGACTTGCCTCGTTTACGTTTTGTTGGCAGGCAGATTGGTCACGATTGAGGTGTATTTAATGTAAAGCCAAGTTAGTATGCTCACTGGTTAACCCTTTCTGTGGCAGTGTAGCAGATCTGCTACAATCACCAAACAAAATGGTTTCTTTAAAGGGTTACTTTAATACAACACGATGTCGTACTTGCACCGAAATCTTTGTCAAACTTGTGCAGCACAACGCACGCTACAAGATACTTGGCGAAATTCTCTGCTGGTCGAATTTCGATGCACTACAGATGGCTGTTAACGTTTTGTTTAATTAACCCTTTCTATGGAAGTATAGCCGATCAACAATCACCAAAACGAAATGGCAAAAAACTTTGAAAAAATCGGAGGATAAAAAGTATTTGATATCTTTACAATGAGCACTGTAATTCACAACAGCAAAGTTTTTACGCAAAATATTACTCACATAAAAGTATGCTTCTCTATAACATTTTGTTAGCCGAATAGCAGATGGTTTCTTTAACGAACTATTCGTAATTTTGACTTCAGATAAACCTTCGTTAATGAAGCATTTATGAAGGCTACTTACCACTAACACACAACAAAATTGAAGTTAGTCCAGTTGAATTGATTAAAAGAAAACAGCGTGCGTGGAAAAGTGTTTAACCAAACAAACAGCGTTCCAATATTTCTTTCGTAGATTATGGTGTTGCCCGCACTAATGAACACGACTAAATGTTTAAAATTCTACAAATTATGTGATTAAATATATAGGGTCGAATAACTGTTTATTACCAAAATAAATCACTAAAATGGCTATCTTATCTATGTCATCAGCTATACGTGAGCGATATACAGACAATAGTTTGAATTATGGATGACAACGTTTGTTTAAAACTGAAAGAAACATTCTTCTTTTTGAGTTCACGAATAAAGGGACAGAAACTTGGATGCTGCATCATGCTGATTTTGTGAATTCTTTCTGCTTTTAAATCGAGAGTGTTTGAGCTTTCCACTTGATTTTCCATCAATTTCCTCTGAATTTTATTTCATGTTGCAGTTGAGAGAAATCTACTTGAATTATGTTGAACATTTGCAAAAAAGGTTTTATTAATTTTCCCCGGTTCATTTATTTTAAAATTATTAAAGACGCGACCAAAGACAAAGCTCAGGAATTTACATAGTTATGCTATAATTTGTAGTCCGGCTACCACAGGTGCCCGGCTAACGTCAATACATTAAGCGGTGCAAATTTTTCTACATCATAGCAAGCTACTACGCATGTGCTGACTGATAACGCGCCGGGCGTCTGAAAATATTGTCCCATAAATTTCAATATTTATTGTTTCGAGTCATTTTGAATGCAATCACCAGTAATCACTAACATCTTAATAGCATTGCCTTGACCGTTTAGAAAAGGGTTATTTTACAAGATTTTGGCATTACGTGTAACAAGCACGATAACACGAAATATTATTTTTGTCAATGTGACGAACTGAGAAGTACCTTTCTAAACATAGGTATTTCATGGTCAATCAAAATACAAATACTGCATGGCATTAATTCCCATAACATTTTCCAACAGAGATTGTTATCCCACTCAATAGATGTAGACAAATTAACATTATGGATGTTGAAAACGTTGTCGCTCATTGACAGAAAATTTTTGCAAAATTTAAGCACTTATTTTCGGCATACCGCAGCTTATACGAGTTTTGCTTTGCGCTAAACAATCTACATTTTGTTAAATTTGAACGTGGCTAATAATTGTTTGTGGATTGTAAAAAAATATTCTTACGGGCAGTTTTGGTTTTCACTTTGTTTGTCGATTCCAATGGTTTATGAAAATTTTATCAAACACTTTAACATCTGAGGAAATAGTCAAATTGGTTTTTGAACTAAATGACAAACTTTCGATCGAATAAGACATTGTACTCACCTTCTGTATTCGTAGTTCATGTTCTTGCGGTTTGATTGGTCTGGTAATGTGGCCAACAAATGATTTAGACTGAAAATATATAAAAGTTATAGCTTAATTGCCTGTTTCGATCAGCTTTCGGAGCCAGGTGCAATAACATCTGTTATTTTCATCCGTGGACACGGATGCATCGTTATAATGTCCATTATGCATCGAAGTAATGTCTGAGTACCATCTAATTGATACTCGAAATATTTTCGGCGACGCTTAACCTCACCGTATTTACATGCAAGTATGTTTCTTACAGAAGCGTTTTGAAAATGGAATGCGTTTCGTTGAATCAATGATACCAACACCAAGTTGCCATCCACATATTATGTAATAACATAACTCTACGATTATTGAACCGAAGTAGATTGGAGCGATCTTATAATGATTTAGAATTAAAGTTCTTTTTATTTAGAGAAAGTCTATGGGTGTGGCTGTCACATGGGCTCCCACCGGGTATTTATACATACGTTGCATTCAATGCCTAGTTTAATTTAACTTTTATTTGCAATCTTGACAGTGTAGCACAAATATTCTTTGTTCTTTTTAAAAAGCACCAACTCTACATTAAAGTCTGGCGTCTGTGGTGTCCTTGGCTAGGGCGTATACGAATTCTGTTAACTGTACTATAAAACATATTTTTCTATGATACATCCACGGTGAAAGATGTATTTTGTAATTTGCAAAGTTTCGTACCTGGATGACCTCTATATTTCCTGGAAGCTCTTTGTGAAATAATATTGCGATGTGTTTACCCGTTTGTCAAACTAATTTTATTGCGTACAATATTTTCTATTGTCTTTAATATTTTCAGTATTCAGGAAGACATAATACTGCATTTCTTAAAGGTTAAGTTTATTCAAATCACGTCAATCGTTGTGAGGTTTTTAATTTTTTTCGTCAGCATATTCTTGTCGATGAGATTTCATAATTTTTCCGGAGTACATAGGAAAACATATTGCGTATTTCTTGCTATACAACACCGTGTTTTAACGATGCCTTTTAATTATTTTTTGAAAATGGCAAAGGGCAGGATTCTTAAAACCAATTTCAATAATAATGCATTAATTTGGGTCGCGAACGAATGGTTTAATCAACGTAGACATAACGTGTTTATAGTGAAAAAGCCAATTCTTAAGTTCACTAATCGACATTATTTTGCATCATAATCACCTGTATTAAGAGTTTGAGCAAGAATCGTAATTAGGTTTTTAATGAAACATTCAAAACATATTAATATCGTTGAGTTTGGTCTTTTTGCTCATGTTTTGGAAGTCCTAAAGCCTTCTGCCATCTAAGGAGCTGTACAGATGAGCCCATGTAACCGGCGTGAAATGATTTTGAGTAATTGAAAGGAGTAAAAATGTTAAGCGCAAAACTTAAAACCTTTTTTTAAGCGTCATAAGTCATTTTAGTTGTAATTTTCAAATCAGACTAATTTGTTTGTTTTTCTTTTTAAAGATTTTGTGATATTGCAAAGTCAGAGCATAGAGAAATTGCTCAAATAAGTTTTTGTTGTGAAGTATTTAATCTTTTTCATTTGCTAAAATGATTTAACGCTTCGCTGAATTCGTGCTACCCGGCTCATGAGAACAGCCCCTAAAAGCAGTTCATTTATGTATAATATATGTCTCTTGGCGATTAGCGAAAATCATTCTGTATGGAAAGTAATTTTCTTCACGCAAATTAATGAAACATGCTTGCTTGTCGCACTTAAAGGCCGTTTTACGATTTTATCTTAAATGTAAATTCAGGAGACGAAAGGTTTTTACCATGTTTTTATGTGAACATTTCATAATCTTAATGGAAAACATACGACAATTGTTTATTTATGTAATTTCATGTCAGTGACTACATTGATTTGATTGCGATATGCTATAACAATAGATAAGAATTGAAATAACAAGAACGCTTACACGAAAAATGCGTCATACAAGATAAATATAGCTTACATCCTCAGGAAAACTATTTTCCGAAGGCAATTTTATAAATCGAAAATCGTATATTATCTTGTCTTTTTTATTTCTAGATAAATCGCATAGATATTTATTTAAGTTTGAGAAGCATGTTGGCTGTATGTGATGACGTGAATCCCAGCAAGGCCACCATGCTTTATCTAGATGTATGAAAAAGTCTGCGCTGAACATTAGTTAAAAAAATCGACGTCAACAGGGATTAACACTAAAGCTAACATGGATTAAAACATTGTTTCATGTTTCATATTTCATAAGACGCGATTTCTTAAAAAGTGAATTCCGATTCTCTGTTTTTCGTTGCTTTCAAACACAATTTTCACCTTATATAGCTACTGACAATCTTGCCTTCGGGTGGTGGAAACGATTCATTCTCAAAACACTATGCTCTTGAGTAATAATAAAAACAGCACTCCTTACAATACCTTAAGAAATGTTATCATTTACTTATTTTAACCTTTTTAGGTTATAGATGTCTAGTGAGATTTCTCGTGCTCGCGCAGTACTTGAAATTTGCATCTAGCATTTGCATAAAGGGCGAACGCTTTTCACTATACTATTACGAACAATCAACACAAAATATACTGAACACTATCTTTTTCATTGTGTTTAAAGATATTTTTATCGTTTCATACCTGCGTGAACCTTCTGCTGAGCATACAACATGCAAAGAAACATTTTTCAAAACATCTTGTAAAGTTGTCATCGCGAAAGACTTGAGTTTTTCACAAGTCTTATTGCTGGAAAATTATGTGTAAATAACTTATTAATAAAGCTAATTCGCCGCCGTCGTATAAAGTTAGCTTACGTAAATCAGAATTTTTCTCTCAAACCAAAAGAACAGCTATATGTTTACTACGGTGGGCAATCATATTTTGTGCATTCTTTTCTCTAGAATGTATAATTGTTTGCTTGATTTTATATTTGTTAGGTGAGGATATCTGCGCTTGATTGAACATGAAATTACTACAGCCACACCTGTTGATCTAAAGACCATAATTGTTTGCCTTTTTTTCTCTCAAATGTAGCGCTGTAAAATATTGAACGTTGTACCATAAGATATAAGAAAGCGTTCATTATTCTTATGTTCAAAAGTGGTCATAAGCCTCGTTTTAATGTGAAAATTTGACGCACACTGAAAATAAAGATATTTGAACTATTGTGTCAGAAACACATCGTTCTTTCTTAACACCTTATTTAAACATCACTCCCATTACAAATGTACAGAAACAAATATTTTACCTTTAATAAGTTTGCGCAGGTTTTACATATGGTCGTTGCTCAGACTTTCACCTTTCATCGTTTGAGTTATGTACGCAACGGAACAGTTAAACGAAATCACGTTTCTTTTCAGCAGGCATATATTTGTACTAACGGAACGATTACCTGTCATTTGACCGTTTAACAGCCTTTTGGTTGAGCGAAGGTAAACTTTGCACAGATGGATGTTAACACAATAATGACACAACAACACAATAATCTTGATGAAACAGCTCTTATCTCCCATGCTAGCGTGGAAGGCTGTTTAATAAAGAGTCATAAACGTCAAAGGTGCTTTGGCAAAACGGGGTTATGCTCCAAAAAGAATACTGTGCTTTTAAAGCAGCATAATTTCTACGGGACCCTAGCAGTCATTTCCTGTATTTGTGCTATTCAAAGATTTATCCCCACTGATTTTTGTAATCCAAACATGTGTTAACATTTCATGTTACTAATGAACTCATCTGGCAGTTTATTTTGATTGAAATGCCTCTGAGAGTTGATAAAATATAGTGAAAAACACTGCGAGGAACGAAATAATTAAAATTTCCTTCCCGATAATTTATTTGTTAAGTGACAGTGATCCAATAAAATAATTTTAGAATCTTATCAGCAGATGGCTTCTGTTGTGATTTTTAATTTCGTGTCACTAATTTTTAACATACGTCACAAATTTTTTTGCAGTCTTTTTTGTCACATTTACATTTTTTGGTGATGGATAACGGCGAGTATTAAAATGCTTCCATGCAAGTACTATGTGCTTGGCTGTCAAGATGAGTAAACAGGAGCTCAAAGTAAAATGGAATACTTTTAGCTACATCTACGTTGAAAGGTCTAACATTAGAATATCAACTATCGACGGGAGGAATTTTATTGAATTTTCTGTGAGAATGAAGAATGTTTAAAAACAAAGTAAAAATTTTCAGCTCGTGACCGTGACGTCATGTACTGGACGGGCCGTCGTCGCCAAGTGACGTCTGAAGGCATGTGCAATCTTGTGCGCAACACGTGATTAACTCCAACTCCCACGCAGTTTCATTGTGGCCAAGCGAAACTTAGTTACTTGAACGGTTGAACTTACTTATATATATTATGTGTATGTACATTTAGTTTTAGACGGTATACTGTATGTTATTTGATTAATGATATCCATAAAAATCGTTCATTGGATAATCCAGGTAATTGAACGACGTTAAAAAATCAAAAACGAGGTGCCGTGACCAGGATTCGAACCTGGGTTGCGGCCACAACGCAATGTACTAACCACTATACGATCACGGCTCTTGGTATGTGATGTAGAAATATATATATAAAATGTATTTATTAACCAAAATAACTTCTTTCAAAATGTGAAGAAATTGCTATATGGTAATGATGAAGTTCTTCGACTGACTGAACACTCTGATCAGTCACGTACAACTTTACAAAATGTTGAAGACGGGAAATGGAGGATAAGAGAAATCCAAATGGGTAAATTAACTGTATTTATCTATTGTCATCTTGGTGAAGAAACTAAGTTCTCGCTTCGTATTTTTTAGAACAAAATTGCTGTCTGTTGTGGACCGATTATCTTGTCACAGTCATATTGAATCTTCGGTTGGTATAATTCTTATGAGAGCTTTGAATATTGATTGAGAGTTAAACGTAACTGTCTTACTCATATATGCTTTATAAAGGAAGGGCTAATCATAATCCCAAAAAACGATACATTTCTTTGTCGTTTTGTGTATCCCACATTTAAAAGAAGTTCTCCAAACAAAAGTACGATTTTTCAACTTGCAGCAAATGTTTTGTGAGACAAGGATCTAGCAATGAATACATAATTTCATATTAAATCAGTGTATCAACAAATATAAAATTTTGGCGAATGAACCTTTCCTTATTTTATTATTTACACAAAAGTAACCCATTGTAATACTTCATTTATAATACATTTAAAATAAACGACAAAATCTTTTGTAATAAAATGTTTCGAAATACGTTAGGTCATCTTTAGTAAGGTCAGAAACATTTTAGTTTAAAAATTTTAGTTTATCTTAAATGCATAATTAGATCTGGTGCTTCTGTGATAATGAGGAAACTTCATTTATTAGTTGTGCAAAATGTGATGCTCTAGGGTTCAACATATTATACTTGGCATAGACAGGATTTGTGAAAAAGCTGGGCAAGGAACTTAGGACATGCCAAAAAAAGCAACTATGTGCTATAAATTTGAAAATGTCTTGAACAAAGGGGGAGCAATTAGCACTTTGCCAATGCCTGAGTTATTGCTTATAAAGCACACTTATTAGCAATAACTTTAAACATTCCTGAATAATTCACTAAGTGTATTGCAAGAAATTGTCCAAATACTTAACAAATAATCTTATTCCTTCAGAAAACTGATATTCCACAAACTGCCAGCACTTTGTACTGTAGCTCAAGAAATGGACGAAACGTGATAGTTCAAAACAATGCCACGTTTTATAAAAATATCAATTTCCATCAATACTCTAATTCTGCTAATAATCCATACGCAAACCTGCAAATGACATTGAAACCAGGTGCTCCAAATGGCTTGGCAAAACCCTCTGTTTGCTTTTGTAAAAACAATGTTAAAAGTAAACCTGAAGAAGTTGGTAAGAAGTTGATCAAATGCAATGGCAATGTTAGTAGTGTCCATTCAGCCAATCTCTCAGAAGATAATGAAATTTTGAAGAAACGTTATGTGAAACCTGGCTATCATGAAAGTAAATTCCAATTGTATGAGAATGTGTTGCTGAAAGATGGTTTTAAACTATCAACTATAGGTAAGTATGTTTTATGCAAAATGAGTATAGTTTTGAGGAAATGGACTTCTGAACAAGTTGAAGATGTTGATAATAAATGATTGTTTTTTTACACAGCTAATATTGGTGAGAAAATTAAGGAAAATCACATAGTTGTAGGAGAAAGCGGTGATGTTCAACAAGTTGGACAGATATTAAGTAAAGAAAAATCGGCAAAAGTAGATACCACCAAACCACTTGGCATTGATTGGAGAACGCAAAACACCCTGAAGACAAAGATCTTGTCCTGCGGAGTTTGTCTAGAAGAGTTTCCATATGTACTGAGTTTGGAAAGGCATCGCAAGGGGAAAGGTCACTATCTTTGCAGTAATTGTGGTGAAGTTTTGCCAACTGAAGAGGCATTTAAAACACATCGTGACAAGAGTCTATGCAAGCTGATTCAGTGTCCATTTTGCAGCATGAAGTTTGTTAATCGTGACGAACTTGAAGATCACAAGGCTGTCGTGCATTTTAAATGTCTGGAGTGTAATAAAATTTACGAGAATGCTGGTATGTCAAAATTCTAACTGTATTTTGAAAGTATTTAAAGAAAGTATTTTAAAGTAACACCAAAACTGGCATTTTCTGCAAAGAAATGTGTGTCTGAATATGATGGTGAGAAACATAGCTACTGGAGGGTGTTGAGAGGGAAAAGGTGTTGGTGGGTAGAAGGTGTTGTTGAAGAGAAGGTGTTTGTGGAGAGAAGGTGTTTGTGAAGAGAAGGTGTTGGTGGAGAGAAGGTGTTTGTGGAGAAGGTGTTGGTGAAGAGAAGATGTTGGTGAAGAGAAGGTACAGAAGAGAAGGTGCG